ATTTTTTATTATTTGGTGGTTTCCAATAAAAAATCTCATACTGTTACACAGTGTCCATAATCAGGACCCTACGCGTTTGCACAACGCCATCGGGGTTGCTCGACCAAATTTGTGAATGTGTGTATTATACGTATACAGAGGGTATACGTAGGTGCGTATACATGTACATCCTTTATTCAAGTCCCCCAAAAATGAATACGTATTTCAAACACCTAGTGGAGTTGGGAGTTGGAAGTCGACTCACAGGTCTAAAACCCTATAGTCTCTCACCAATGCCTACTTGTATATAGAAACTTTAGGTTTCTTTCAATTGAGGGTGCGCCACATAAAAAGTGGTCTCCACAAAGCATCTGTTCGGATGCTGCACTATTCAACAAAAATATCACAATCGTTTTCGATCAACAACTCACGAAATACAAGATGTATTTAATTGAAATTCCGTGCACTAATTTTCCACGATGTGTAAACATGAGGAGATTGAATATCATGAGAACCGTCAAAAAATAAAAAATAATATGATCGCATCAATGTAGTGTTGTAAACACGATAAATCCGCGTTGACTTTCATTCGGATTGTATTTGTCGCGCTTTAAACACTGCATTGTTACGGTAATAATAGCTTCATTGTTTGACGGTTTCTTATGAAATTAAATCTCGTTATGTTAAACTTAATGACAAATCTGTGGACAAAATTTCAATTTAATACATCTTGTATTTTTTAGTTCGAAAACGAGTTTGATCTTTTTGTTAGTAGTGCAGCACCCGTGGAGATGCTTTGCGAAGACCACTATTTATGTGGTGCGCCCTCGATCTATTGAACGAACTTAAAGTAGGCACGTGCGCATGTTTACGGTCTTGGTGCGAGACCACTATAGTTTTACATGTGTATATAATTACATCTTTATTTTTTCCAGTTAAATATTGCATATGGCGTTGCTTACATCAATTGGCAATTGCGCCATTAATGGTAGGCCTAGTCATATTGACCGAACGAAATTTCGTTTTGTCACATATTAACTATTCATTAATTTATAACATAGACTTTTGTTTCGTTTTTAATACTACCGGAGACCTGCCGAGCAGATGTAAATATCAAACTTAACCAAAGTAAAAAAAATCAAAAAAAATCAAAAAGTTATGTGCTAGCCAAGCATTCAGGGATCGGTCTGAGCCATAACAATGCCCCAGCCAACCCCCTAGGGCTCTTCTGGGATCTCGGCGTTCCCGGCCAATACACACTTCCTTCCCTGTCCATCCATGTAACCCGTGGGCCAGGCACCATGTAAAAGCAAAGAGCTAAGGGAGGAACAGGGCGGCCCCTTAGCCCTGATCCTGTACGAAGGCGCCAACCTGGAACTCGCGGACAGTACCAGCAGCAGTGCTTACCGATTAAGCTAAGGTACTGTTGGTGATTTACGACGGGAAATTAAACATCTTATTATAATGACTGAATGCGTGCGTTGAAAAGCAAAAAGACACGGACGGGATTCGAACCCGGGCTCCGCGATTCGTGGACGACGAATCTTTAAAGAGAATTAGAATTCTAATTCTCTTTAAAAAAAAAAACAGTTAAGTTGTCTTAGCTTCATTGCGCCTTATAATAGGCTATATCGATATGTATACTCCCCAGGGAGCTGAATTGGTATATGGAATGTTTCGTGGGCCCAATGAGAAGGGGTAATAATGATGTATACAGCGCCTTGAGCACCAGTCCTGATGTGCGCTTTATAAATACCCACTATTAAGTAATGCTTTATATCGGCATGCCGTATTAACTTTCCAACATGGAGGAAAGATACAAACCGCGCTTCAAACGAGAAAACATTGCTGTGCCAATCGTCCTGTGCCCAAAAATCCATAATAACAGCTTTCTACCGGGTGTATAAAAAGGGAAACCCAAATGTAAATGTAAATGTTAAAAAATCGAATAACTATTTTCAAATAAATTAAAGATCAAGTGAAACACCAATGTGTCCGCTGCAGTCAAATGGGACTCAAAGCTGCACACAAAAATATCCACAGCGAAAGCATGTCTGTATATAGGCGTAGTTTCATGTCATACCCTAGCCTCATAAATGTGGCCAATTTACTTGACTACCTCCGTAAATAAAGGCCACACTTCCGCCATGTACAAAAACATGTCGAACTTTGTCAAATTTTGATTTTCACATTGATGCTTAGTTTGTAGGGTTTTTTGCTTTAGAAGCATACTCACCCTCTTTATAGGCTAATGAGAAAGTGCTGCCATTTTCAGATGTCTAATTTTTGTGAAATTTCATGTTGAAATTTTGATACGCAAACATGTGCAAACGAATCTGGAAATTTCACGAAAAATAGACATCTGAAAAGGGCAGCGCTTTCTGATTAGCCTATAAAGGGGGTGAGTATGCTTGTAAAGCAAATAACCTACAAACTAAGCATAAATGTGAAAATCAAAATTTGACAAAGTTCGACATTTTTTTGTACATGGTGGAAGTGTGGCCTTTATTTACGGAGGTAGTCCAGTAAATTGGCCACATTTATGGGGCTAGTCATACCCTAAAACTACAACAACAAAAGTAAAAGTGATGGACCTTTACAGATTATGTGACTTCACACTGCTTCGCAATACTTGTCCAATAATATTCCAATAAACCATACAAAATGTCTGTACGATCTTAATTTCCAAACATATCATCCCAGATGACAGATCAGACAGAACTACACTTTCAGAGAATTAAAACTCACCTCATTTTGAGGACCGTCATTTCCTGCTTGCTATGTTGCTTGAAAACATTCGTGAATCTGGTTGGGCCGCAATCCGCGGTCCTCCACGCCCTTCTACCATTGCGGAATTAACTTCAAGAAAGCGAGAAGACTATGTCGTGCGCAATGCAATGGACTCGTGCAGTTTAACTGCGGCACTATGTACACTCACGTCTACGAAGGGTATTATTTCTGTCTTTGAATAGAAAGAATTCTGGTGGCTCCCTTTGAAAAATCTTCTGGCATACCACTTGCATTTTTTTCTTTCATGTCTCGCTTCGCTCTTCAGCACTAATTTTTGAGACCTGGAACATACAAAGGTTTTGATCAGACTGAGTTTACACACAAAAAAGAGATGACCAAGACGACCAATACCATCAGCAATGAACGCCATCTCCTTCATACAAAGACTGAAATCCAGGAGGAGCTTTTCTTGGTCATGTCGAAAACCTTGACAACACCTCGGGAAGAAACAAGAATCAACCTCTTGGTCATGTCGAAAACCTTGACAACACCTCGGGAAGAAACAAGAATCAACCTCTGGAGAGAAAGAGTCGAAAACAACCCTCCTCCAACCGACATGAAAACCTCCCTCCTAATGCAGAAGCAAAACGGATCGAGTGGAAAACTCTCAATCGCCCGAGGACAAAAAGCGGTAGATGCAAAGCTGCATTACAGCCCTATATCATCTGCGAGTTCAGAGAAGCAGACCACACCGTGGATCACTGCCTCAAATGCCCACTTACTACCCCACCCATGCAGCTCCACAGCCCTCGGGAACTACACCACTAACTCAAAGCACTGCGTAAACAAGTGGAAAACGTTCAGTGATTTGAATACACGAAAAGACTAAAAACAAATCGGGTGAGGCTGGGGTTGGGTATTTATTGAACAAGTGGTGGTTTTTTGAACGACTGGTAATATTATGGAAAATAATTTTACAGGAGGTCGGCTCTCGTCAATTTTCAAAGAAAAGCCAATTTTATTCATCAATTCTCAACATTAAAGACATTATAATTAAGCAATAATAGGTTGGGTATTTTGTTTTAATTAAAGACGAAACTGTTAATTGTTGCAATGGTTGAAATAATTAAGTATTTCTAAGCATGGCAACTAAGCATTTTGTTTCAGCTTTGAAACAGATCGCTGTCACTTCTTGTACATGCAATAGACTTGGTCTGATCTGCAGATCTTAAAATCAAGCTCCAAAAAAATATTCACGTTCCATAAATAGACAAAATGGCTTCCCTAGATCGTTTAAGGTGGGTCAAAAAAATAGGAAATCAAAAACAATGTGAAAAGGTTCCAGTTTGAGTGTGTGACATGGGCAAGACAAATTACTAGTGGGCCCATTTCAACTGATCATGTACATGCATTTTGGGATAGCTGATGTATCCACTGATGCAGAATACAGATCCAACGTACAATGTAGATATATTTCTTATGTATAATAATAATTAAACGTCGTCATCTAGAAAATTGAAAGTGTGTTAACATCTAAACAGTAACTTCAAAAGCTGTCCCTTTACCAACATTAAATATGGACGTACTAGATACAAACAGAATCTAATGAAGTTTTACTTTACTCGTTCTTTAACGGTTTCCTCAAAATAAGCAGATTGACAAAAGAAATTACACTATGGCAGATCTTGAGATTTTAACCCTCTTTGATGTTTAAGGCAGTGGCGTCACCAGACTTTTCAGTCTGGGGGGGCACAGGGGGGGGCACCAGCATTTGATGGGGGGCACTTAGGTGGATACGGATCGCCGTCCTGGGGGAGGGGTCTAAGGGGAGGGGGTGCCCCCCCTCCCCTTTGGAAAATTTTCGCATACGGAGGATGGGCTAGATGCAAAATGGTGCCACATTTGATGCTAAATTCGATCTGAAGATATCTCCAGAAATTGCTATTTAACCAACTCAGATGATGGGAGTTGAATATAACAACATATATATATATATTTTTACCAACCCAAATCTCAGATGGGGGGGCACTCGGGGGGGCACTAGGTTTTCCAGGGGGGGCACGTGCCCCCCCTGGCCCCCCCTTGGCGACGCCACTGGTTTAAGGGACTTTTAAAAAGTCATTGGCCACAGCCACTTCACCGTTATCATGTTCATGTTCAAGTGACTAAAATACATGTAATAGTGTGTATGGATGCTGATACAATGTAGTGCAGACAATACAACACAGTACAAAGCTGGGAAGCTTTCATATCTACCCGAATTGAAAACCTAGCCATTTTTACAGCCCAAATTCTACTTGAACAATTAATATAAACAAGTTGACTTATAAATCCAGATACTTTAATACGATCGATTTCTACATGTGGAGTTTATTTAATTCTTTTTTTTTTTTAATACTTGGAATCGCTTCTACAACTCCGAATCATTGTTTTAAAATTTCTTTGCAGGCAAAAGATTAATACCAACTTTCGTTCTGACATATTTTGTACTTTCTTCATCTTTTCTAGGCAATACAGTCGTTAGTTTAAAACAAAAGTGAAACATCACAACCTCCCAGAATTATTTTTAACTGTACAACGTTCAGATTTACAGTCATTCTGATAATATCCGAATCCACAAGTTACTTTTCCATTCTAATAACTCTAATACAATTTTGGCTGAGTCAATTTAAAGCCTTTACTTACACCATAGAATAAAGATATGGAGTAGGTTATAATTATGTCACAGGTCTTAGTTTAACTGTTTTAAACAATGGTAAGAGTTTTTCCAAACCACGCCTTTGCTTTCAGCTTTGTTTAAAGCCAATGAAGTGGGACGAGTTGAAACAGAGTCATAGTCTGAAAAATGACCCTGGGTCCCGAAGCTGGGGGACAAACTGAGATTTGGAAAATGGCACTTGCACTACATGAAGCCACAGCTGAAGCTCAAACCGAGATTTGAAAAATGGCACTGGTGCTACATGAAGCAGAAGCTGATGCTCAAACCGGGATTTGGAAAATGGCTTTTGTGCTACATGAAGCCGAAGCTGGTGCTACATGAAACTAAGCTGATGCTCGACCAAGATTTGGAAAATGACCCTGGTGCTACATGAATCCCATCTGGAATCAGAAGCCATGGTTTCGGAAATGCCCCTAGAGTGAGTGGTTTGTGTATTATTGTGGTATGGATGCAGTGTATCCCAGGTTGAATCTACTAGCTGTAGAGATCATCGTCCCCGTTATCATCAGCGTACAGGTTGGGGTTGTTGCCAGATCCAGAGCCGGCGGGGGCTTGACCACCGCTGGGTCCCTGTGCTTCAGGAAACCTGTCACAGACAAAAACAAACAACATTGAGCACTTTTGTTACATTGCATGCACTCCCTGGTTCCCTGATGAAGGCATAGAGGATCATTTGCTTTTCATGGATTTTGTTCATTTCCAACAATAACACCATTGAAAATCAAAAGGTTAAAAAATCTAACCCGTTGAACTTTCAGCTCAGTGGAGATTACAGTTTTTGAGAAAGCGGTGAAAAACCATGCACAACCTTTTCATCAAGAAACGCAATTTCATCAATACCACTCTTCATTTCCAGAAATCTGTCAATTGATTGATCGTTGGAAAACACCTACATTTCTTGATTTCTTCTATGTGACAGCATGACAGACGTAATAATTTCACAGGGTGTTTAATGCCAGTAAGATCTTCAATCTAGTAAGGTTTTTTAAAGTAATTAGCTTAGTTACTTTTGGGATAAATGCAAATGATCCTATGTGCCTTTAAGTTATGTCCCCACAAGTCTATCACACGTCATCCCAACTCAAGTCAAGTCACAATCTATTCACATTAACAGAGAAAAGGCAATGCCTTGTCATTCTGCATCCTATTACTTGTGACCATTCTTATGATGGACAATGGACATGTGATGGACTTGTGCTTGACTTGTGATGGTCTTGTAATTTGCCTTGTGATGGACTTGTGATTGCCTATAGTGATGGACTTGTGAATGTCTTAAAATGGTATTGTGGATGGATTTGTGATGGTCTTGTAATTTTCCGTGTGATGGACTTGTGATGGTCTTGTGATTTGACTTGTGATTGACTTGTGATTTGATCTGCGAAGGACTTGTGAATGACTTCAGATGGACTTGTGATTAACTTGTGATGGACTTGTGATTGCCTTGTGATTGCCTGGTGATGGACTTGTGATGGTCTTGTGATTTGACTTGTGATGGACTTGTGATGGACTTGCATTCCGACATGTGACGCGAATGACTTCAACTCCACTATTTTTCCTCAAAATTTTAATCACATTTTTCACACTGACCTGAAGTTTCCTCCAAAGCCTCTGCTCTGTTGAAGAGTCTGCGCAAACATTTCGTATTTGCGAATGTCGTTGTCGCTGACAGAGCGACGAGCAAACTTCATGGCTTCTTCAAAATGTACTCTTGTGATCTCGGGAACCGGGTCGTCCTCGTCAGTTTCCTGAAAGAAAAAAAAAAAGCATTACACAGGTAATTTTCAAAAAGTCACACCGAGCCATCAAGCTGGCATTCATCTCTGGTTTCCATTGCATGAAACGACTGAGAACATTTGTATCTCCCCCTGGATGGGATGCCAGTCCATCACAGGTTACTCCCCAGCTAATGCCGGTACCAATTTACACTCCTGGGTGGAGAGAGGCAAGCTGGGGTGAAGAGGCTTGCCTTAGGACACAACATATGACCAGTGGCTGGATTAGAACCCCTGACCCTCTGAACATAGTCACAAACTCTACCCTCTTGGCCATACTCCCACATTATAACATTCGAGGAAATCCAATCTTACCATGTCTAAGTCCGGATTGTCGATGCGTTCTCTCTGTCGACGGATGTCTGACTCGATGCTCTGGCGGATGGCCAGCTTGCAGGCGCGCTGACAAATCTCTGTCAGATCAGCACCGCTGTAGCCGTGTGTCACCTTGGCTAGGTATTGTGTGTCCACGTCCTAAAAATTACAGATTATTGTTGTAAAATACATGGAGTAGAATATGTGAGGTGCTCTAGCAAAATGAGATGGAACTGGGCACAGGCTGTAGTGAAGAAACATTTTCAGATTTCTTCACATTTGCAATCTCTACTACACAATCTAGTATAAGAATTAGTGGAATAAAAGAGTTTTTAAGGAAAAACAATCGGCATCTTTCATGTTCACGAATACAAAACTTGAAATTGTAACTGCTTTTCTCAGTATTTTACTCTTTTGACATGTTGATAAAAACAAACTTTGAACAGCCATAACTTGTCGACGGAATGTCCTATTGAAGTGCACCAAACAATATTGCAAGGAGAATTTTATTCTCTTTCCTAATACCTGCAAACCCTCATTTCGACCAAAATGCCTCACAAATATCAATTCTGAAAGTTGTTGATACTAACAAATTGTACTGTGTTTTAATTTAATACAAAGCTATTTTTTTCAATGACGATTTAATTTTTGCAAATTTATGCTGTTGAAATCAGTGATCAAATCAGGGACTTTCTCTTCAAATCAGCCACGAGGGCTACATTTCATAAACTGATACACCTCCGATACAAATTATCCCCCCACCCAAGCAAAATACTGGCAGAGACTTGAACTGTATAGTTTAAATAATTTGGGATCACCAATTTGCACACACACACAAAAAACCGGAAAATCGCCACAACATTATTTTTCTGGCCGATTTCCATTTAAATTCAGTACAAAAACGGTGAGAGGAGAATTAAAAAGTTAAAACTTAAAGACTTAAAACTGTAATAATTTCCCGCATCATTTTCTTCTTAACTTACATCTGATACTGGCGACTTGCGGAGGTTGGCCTTCAGGATGGAGACGCGAGAGAGCTCATCTGGCAGTGGAATGTAGATGAGCTGATCTAGACGTCCTGGACGCAAGATAGCTGGGTCCACAATATCGGGTCTGGAATTAGAAAACAGTTGAAATAAAAGTATAAAATCCAGGTATCAGGCTAAAGCCGTGTCAAAATCACTTGGCTACGGCTGGCGATAACACACGGGTCTATGGGAAATGGCTGCAGCCGCTAGCCAGTGGCTTCCATCAGGGTGCCTATTATTCCCATCTAAAGCCAAGTGATTCGGACATGGCCTAAGCCTTTTATTTTTTTTCTGAGCATACCAATGTTACCCTTGGCTGAACTTTGAAGCATCCCAACCAATCTAAGGAATATCCCCTTGCACAGCAAGGGTGTATGATACGCAAGCAGATTCGGCGATTAATCATACAAAACAAGACTGCATCTTGACCTCGAGATTCTGACCATTCAGCGGGCGCCTTCTATCGGGTCTTCCGTAACCCGCTGTTGTGTTACAAAACACGGTAGCCACATTGACACAAAAGCCTCTTTGTCCACATTTCTGATCGAAATGACGTCACAATTTGATTTTGATTGGCTGGCGCGCGGGGTCACATGCTAGGATATACCAGATGTTCATCGATGATTACCAGATGATTACCAGATGATTTTAACGTGCCATTTCCATCGACTTTTCATCAACTTTTCTTCGAAATTCGAAATTTCTTCGAAATTATGATTGAACATTTTGTGAGAAAAATCCTTACAAATCAAATTTTGTGGGACACACTGTAAAAAAATCGGAAATTTCGTTGGAAAATTCAAAAAGTCGGTTTTCCGATTAAAATCGGAAAAGTTTCATCTCTGGTTTCCCTCGTAAAGCCCCTCTCTGTAACTATCCAAATCATGGTGTTCTGCTACATACAATCTTTCAGAATTCAAAACCAACGTAAACAAAAGTCTCCTCTCACTGTGGTGGGTTTTTTTAAGTTCTTTGTGTTCTTCATCATTTGAAGCTCACACTTTGAATGACAATTTTCTTTGTATTTGGGGAATGCCTGTTAATTTTTTTTTTTTTGTTAAATACCTGTTGGTCGCGCCAATGATGAAGACGTTCTTCTTCGCTCCCATTCCGTCCATCTCAGTCAGGACCTGATTGATGACACGATCTGACGCGCCGCCAGCATCGCCTATGTTACCGCCGCGAGACTTGGCAATGGAATCCAACTCGTCAAAGAACAGCACGCAGGGTGCAGCTTGCCTGGCCTGATAAAACCAAACAAGAAAAGTAACATGATGAATGACTTAAGAAACCCACCTCACAAGCAAGTCTGGGTGTTTGACCTCCACCACAGAAATTTCAAAAAAGCACTGTTCAGTCAGTCCTGTCTGAGAGGAAATTTTTCTAAGATGATTTTTTTCCACCACATAAACTGCTGAGACAAAATGAACTAACACAATCAGTAAGGAGCGTGCAATTCTTTTGCTTTTTTTTTTTTTTTTTAATGAAAATATGGCACACACTTTGACAGAGTAAATCTATATTGTTTGGATGATGTGGTAAATGTGTACCAAGATTCTGACACCTGACTGTAATGTCATAAAAATTTGAGACACCACAGTTAAACTTGACTAAATAGCATCATCAAAAATGAAGGAAAAGTTCAAATAATTTTCTCAATATTGACTTGCCTTGTCAAAGACATCTCTGACGTTAGCTTCCGACTCTCCAAACCACATAGTCAGCAGCTCGGGGCCTTTGATGGAGATGAAGTTGGCCTGACATTCATTGGCGATAGCCTTGGCCAGCAGAGTTTTACCTATAGACAAGTTTAAATATAGACAAGTTTAAATATTGAAACCCTTCATTTATATTTTCAACAATTTTTTTGCCAGTACATTGTCAGTAGTCTGAGTATCACCCATTATCCACAGAGCAAGTCTCCTGTATAACGTCTAATATGTCTAGACATGCAGATATATGCAAGCCGTGCGCCAGCCAATCGGAGTCGACTTTACTAAATCGTGACGTCATTTTATTCCAAAATCAGGGCTAAATGGTTTGATTGGTCAATTCGAATGCAGTGTTATGTAATACAACAACAGCCGGATGCATATGCACTACAGAGCGCGTGACACAGGATCCAATGTCTATGACAGGCAACAGGTGAATGCCCAAAGACGCAATATAGAAAGCGCCCGCTGATTGGTCAAAATCTAGAGGTCAAGAGGCGGTTGTCTTGCCTAATTAATCAGCAAATTCTGGTGGATCTTGTGTGAGCTAGAGGTGCAAGGGCAACCAAAAAATAAAGGCTTTATTTAGGGGGTTGCACATACCCAAACTAGAAAAACAGTTTTTCAACAAAATGAAGCATTCGAAAATTAAAAGGAGAAAAACAATTAATTTTGGTGATGTGCAGGGGGGAAGCAACTGTAACCCACAAGCACGTCGTTGCGTCTGTGCAACAAGGTTGTATCTCCTAAAATGGCGTGTGACGTCATGTACGTGAAACGCGAGTTTTCAAAGTCAAAATGTTGTATCTTGCTTAAATCTCAGTCAATGGACGTCGCGATATGCGAGATACAACCTTGTTGCACGGAGCGTATTCGCGAAATATACGACTTTGTTGCAGAATCGAGTCACCCTGTTGCACTGATGCGACGATGAACTGTATTGTATTACATTGTGTTTATTCCCCTATAACTGCATACAACCATAGAGTGCTCAGGCAGTTTTCAGTGGTACAGGGAATAAAAGGCAGGGCGGTCTTGGGCGGTACAGGGACTAATGTGTTATAGAGACTAGGGGTTAATGCCTTCCACACGCTGATATATAAACCTACCACATCCAGGAGGTCCATAGAAGAGCACGCCGCGGCTTGGGGTCATGCCAAACTTGAGGAACTTGTCCGGGTGCTCCACGGGGTACTGCACCAACTCCTGCAGTTCTCTCTTGACGTTGTCCAGGCCGCCGATGTCGTCCCACGACACGTTGGGCACCTCAACCACGGTCTCACGCAGAGCGCTGGGGCTGCTCTTGCCAAGCGCATACTGGAATAACACAAATAAGGTGAAGGCAATTTTCAATTTTGTTTTATACGTATTAATATTTAACTTGATTTTGTATCAAAGTATCATCAGTCTTTTTAACCAATTCACGTCAGAGGACATGTCAACACGCACTGGCTGTTTTTATAGACAGGCACGGCTGACGGGTTAAAACTCCAAACGTGCCATGACTTGCCTCCGGGTGCATCTTAACACGCTTAGCCCTCGTGTCTTTTGTACACACACACAAAGTCCATGAAGTCTGTGGAGGCGGACCGTGTGTTGATCTTGAATTGGCCGCTGTGCACGGCCTATTGTTTTACAAGTTACGATCTGTTGCACACCCCAGAATGTTAAAACACATGAGATTTCAGCAAGAAATATGGTACAAAAACTGTTCAAACGACTCTTGCGAATCAGTATTCGTGGCGAGTGGCTGTACATCTGAAGTTGGATGCTACATTTTGCCTTTTTCAAAATTGACATTTTCGGCAAAAACAATCCTGTCCCAAAAGTGCTTGCGTGGATTGATTGTTTGTCTAATGCTAAATTTTCCTTTACACACATGACTTGAGAGCATCTGTGACAAATATTAGCTCTAATTGCATTTTAAGCACTTTCAAACTTACGCTAGTCAGCTACCTCGAAAAAAACACAGCGATGCACACATGACACTTTTAATATTTTTATAATCTCATTGTCAACTTTCGCAAGACGCACACCAATCCCATTGGCAGCCAATTTAATTTCTGACCCTGTCCATTCAATTGAGGGTTGCAAATGGCAACACTTGATCAGCGCATTGCAAATATTCAAATATTCGTTCCAATTCAAGTTGGAATAATCGAATGCTAAATTTGTTTAAAAGTACAATCTTACAAAATCCTGTAAAAAATCTCCAGTTGGATTTTGAAGGAAATTGAAGGATTAGAGTTATTGAGCAAATGACTGCTAATCCCCGCTCAATACTGACCCTGAAATCGTCCATATTGACAGCCAGTGAGTCCATGACTTCAGCATCAATGGTATCTTCTTCCAAGTCGATCAAATCCATCTTCTTACGGATCTGTTGCAGGGCTGCTTCCGAGCACAGAGCCGCCAGATCGGATCCCACGTGGCCGTGGGTCTCGTTGGCAATCTTAACGGCCAAAAAAAAATTCAATCGTTTAGTCTGCTTATTTCTTTGAAGTATTCTCATCAGAGATCAGCTCTTTCATTTTGTTTTGTGCTTATATTTAACACCTTTGTTCATGAAATGCCAAGTTACAAGATCTATTTATTTTGGAATGTAATAATAGTTGTAATTATAAAGTAATCACACACGTCATCACAAGTTTACCACTAGTGACAAAGGCATTTCTTTGGGTAACTGTTCATTTGGGACTTGACTTGTGATGGACACGTGGTTTGACTTGTGATTGACATGTGATTCAACTTGTGATTTGACTTGTGATTTGACTTCTGATTGACTTGTAATTGACTTGTGATTGACACGTGGCTGACACGTGGCTGACACGTGGCTGACTTGCGATTGACTACATTTCTAACCTGCACCCTCTGAATATTGAATAACAATAATAATAATGATTTATACATTTATATTGCGCAAATTCCATATGAATATGATCGAATGCGCATCACATTTATTATCCCTGTTCATCAGAAATAAGACCATTTTTTTTCTGCAGCAGCTCCAGATCAGTGCAATTTGGTCTCTACCTTCACAGGTACCATTTATACTCCTGCATGGAGAGAGGCAATCGTAGTAAAGTGCCTTGCCTTGTTCCCCGTCAGGGTGCGAACCCATGTACCACGGCACATGAGTCAAACACCATAACCATTGGACCACAGCTCCCCACGGACCACAGCGCCCCACAGCCAACTTTATAATTGAGATCCTACCTGTTCCAAGTCCACATCATCGGCCAGTTTCATGTTCTTGGTGTGGATACGCAGGATCTCCAGACGTCCCGTGGCATCCGGTATGCCAATGTCAATCTCACGATCAAAACGACCTGAAACAAAAGCATATACATGCATCAAACTATACCCATAGTAATTCTTCAAAAGGAGGCTTGTGTGGTAGAAAGAACATTGTTAGAGAGGTAAGTAAATAAGGGAATAAATGAGTGCTTGTGAGGTGGAAAACACTCTGTTTAAGACCAGTTGGAGTCTGGTTGCTGAGCATCCAGACTCCAACCGGTATTTAATATAGTGTTTAATACCAAGCAAGCACATATATATTCCCATTTATAAATACCTTTTCATGCTTTTCGGTAAAAAAAATCACAACTTTTGGTCCAAAACTAAAAACAAGACAAAAAAGTTTTATTTTCAACGATTTCGAAAATACAATGGTAAGGCCTTCTGGTAAACAACTCCTTATATGGAGATTGACGCGCGCGTGATGTGGCGCACAAAGCAGAGGTACTGGTGAAGTGTGACTCACTGACTCACTGGTATATTGCGCATGCCTACATAAGGATTGTGAACGTTCAACCAATAAAACATTAAAAGGCACTGGATTTCATAGAGTCAAAATTTCATGTGACACTGGAAAAGTGTTGAAGACCAGCCAGCCATGTCTTTATCATCCGTTTAAGACCGGCCACATGACAGGCCCTCGACCAATAGGAATGGGTAAACTGTCTAAGGTATTTATGAACAATCAACAAAATATCAATGTGCCCACTGAAACCAGGGTGGCATACTGCCCCAGTGGCTTTTAAACAATTTTGTTCCCGACCCCAGTATAGAAGAAAATCTACTCACCGAATCGTCTCAGGGCAGTGTCAATGCTGTTTGGTCTGTTGGTGGCTGCCATGACGACAACATGTGCACGCTGCTTCAATCCATCCATGAGGGTGAGAAGCTGGGACACGATACGTCGTTCCACTTCACCGTGTGTCTGAGGGTTAAGTGTTGGTCAAACACAGTCAACTATGGTTCACCTTTAATCACATGCAGGTGTAGGGACAATTTGGACCAGTGTTGTAATCAAGGTGCTTGCGATGGATCAGAATTCAAGTACATCACAAGTCCAGTCACAATTAAAGTTACAGTCCATCATTTGCAGCTATCCAAAAAGTAACTGACGTAATTATTGCTGAAAGCAAACTTGGTTTAAAGATAGTAACGGGACTATTAAACTCCCTGTGAAATTATTCTTTCTTGCAAGCTGTCATTTTGAAGACATCAGTGAAAGAAGGCCTTTTCAACAATACGTCTAAAGACGCATTCTTGAAAATTTCTGTAAGCAGTTCGTTTTTATTTTTGGCGAAAGCACGCGCAAGCGTTGACACAACGCACACACATGCGGTTGCTATATTTCATCAGTTCACTGCGCGGCATCAAGTAGCAGCAATTGGCTCAGTGAGAACGTGTCTCGGATACTGAATTCAGCACAATTCAAAACATGACTCAGCAAGTTTTGATTTCAAATCGAGATCCTATAATATTGTTTTCTCGGAATACACAACATTCACTGACCTGAAACTTCATCAGGTTAGTTGTTCAGCACCCTTTTTTAGAATATGAGAACTAATGTTGCTTCAAACGAACATAATGTACAAACTACAAATGATGGACTGTACATTTAAATCACAAGTCTATTCACAAGTCCAGTCACAAGTAAATCACAAGTTAATCACAAGGCCAGTCACAAGTAACAGGGGGGTGAACAATAACAAAGAAATGCCTTTATCACCGTACAATTGAATAGCTCCTGCATTGCAAAACCACCCTTCACTAGTGTAATATTATTAGCACTGCTATTCAGAGTTTTCTGAGAGCTTGTGAATTGTGAAAAAACAATTGTGGGAATCAAACCACAACCTCCTGCTTACCATTGCAGTTATCCTAACCATTAACAACCATGTCATCAGCTTGACGTTGTCAGGCATCACATGACGTCATTTGCACTTTTTAAAGTCCTATATCTAGAAAAAGTACACGTCTAATTTTAGTAGTTGAGAGTTTGTCAGTATGGATATACCAAGGTTGGATTTTTGCTTTGTTTTTGCTGTTTTTTTTCTGTACCTTCTCTCTTTTAGGAGCAATGGAGTCCAGCTCATCAATGAAGATGATAGCTGGCGCGTTCTTCTCGGCTTCTTCAAAAGCCTTGCGCAGGTTGGACTCGGAGTCTCCGGCCAGCTTGCTCATGATCTCTGGCCCGTTGATAAGGAAGAAGAATGCGCCGGTCTCGTTGGCAACGGCCCGGGCGATGAGTGTCTTGCCCACGCCGGGCGGGCCATAGAGAAGAATGCCTCTGGGGGGCTGCCAGTGGGAAAAGAGTTCAGAGAAACCTGATAATAATGCTTACATACAGTTTTAGTATATTAACCCTTACTCCCTAGGCCTTTTTGCTAGGATGTAGCCTCAATCCTGCAAAATCCTCAAATAGGCCTTGTGGAAAAATGGCATATAGCCTCAATCCTGCAAATTCCTCCATTACTTCTTGAATATGGTCCATGGAGGGGTGACCACTGCCTAAATCCTGCAAAATCCTGCGGCAGTGACTATGAGCAGGGGTAATAATGATGTAGCGCCTTGAGCACCAGTCCTGGTGGATACGTGCGCTTTATAAATAGCCAATATTATTATTATTATTATTATTAATATGTTAAGGCTTGGCCAGTGACATCCTGGAGCAGTACAGAGGATTTCAAGCATAATTCAGGCCTATATTTATGCATGGCTGAGCAAAAACAGCACAAGGCCTAAGACCTTGACAAAGTGTATGCTACGAAATCAGTAACGCACTTTTGCCATGTAACCTCAATCCTCCAAATTCCTCCACTTTGGAAAAGAGGATTTTGAAGGATTCAGGGCGGTTAGGGTTAACCGGAAGTCCAAAAGGTAGTCTTAGATAATCTTGTGGGCTTTTAGGAAAGCACATTGTAGCCACTGTTCCTCTTGAAAGCTTAAGATATACAGCATGTGCAATTGAGTACATGCACGGTAAAGAAATCGACATAGGTTGCTAGCAAAACTGCGTGGAAGCTAGGGTTAATTCTTAGGATTGCAATTAAAACTCCTTAGAGTTCAACAGACTCGAATCATGATTTTTCTTTCATTTACGTCTCAATTAAATATTTTTGTCACTACACGTACTACATTTAATTAGCTTAATATTATTTCACTGGTGACTGTTTGACGAAGGCTTTGTACTTAATCATGAAGGGATATTCCAAGTCACAGGAAAATTCAAAGCCAGTTGATAAGCTGTAACAGTTGGAACAGCCACAAATGTGTGTATGAGATTTATAATTTACAATCTCTTTCTCAAAAATGGTAGACACACTGGTCTCTTTCCAAATCTTGAATATGCCTTACGGTTCACATTTGGCTTCACATTCATTCTTGAAGCCTTTAACCCTCCTATTGTTTTTTTATCAGTCACAGACAGTCAAAAATTCAACCCTGTTTCCCTGCCTTTTACACTGGCTAGTCACCAACAGTCAGATCATATTTCTTGTAGGCACTGTGACTAGTCAAATTCCATCAACAGACAAAAGCAGGGGACTGGTAGGCACAGCTGGCTTATCAATCTCCTACAGTCAAAGCATATCAGGTTTCATAACAATCACAGCCAGTCAATCCTGCTTTATGAAGGCAGGGAGCACTCAACTGTTAAAAACAGTCACCTGATTTATTTTGACTGCTGGGCTGGCCTTGTTGAAATTGCCAGCCAGAGAGGGCAGCTTAATCCCCAAATTAAACGGAAATTCAATTAAAAAGGCCATTATGTTCATTGGCCACGTCATGTTACAAATGAGTTTTCCTATCACGGTTCTTGTGAAATAATTTGCCAAATAGGAATATAGAATTTAACTGGGAGAGTTGGCACAGAAATGCGATCTGGCAAAAATATGCCAGCCAATCACTTGATCTATTCCTATGTGTAAACCGTGATATGTCATCAGGGATCTCATGTAATGCTAATATAATATATACAAAGTCAATGAGGTTGCGGTAGTGGTACTTTCCTTGCCTTCCACCGCTGTGACCCGGGTTCAAATCCAGCTAGGGCCAATATGTGGGATTGGGTTTTCAGTCCCTACTTGATTCTGTAGGTTTTCCTCAGAATATTCTTCTGGGTTTTTCCTCCCGCCTCTAAAACTGTAATTTCTTCTCATTAACGTCTCTCTACAGATTTCTTCAGGCTTTGGAACTTACAGTGCCTAGGGCGTTATTTGGGGAATCCTTGGTTTCATTACGAGAAGTAATATATAATACAAATAAAAAATAAATAACAATGTACCTTGACACCAATGGCCTTGAACAATCCCGGGTGTCGCAGTGGTAGTTCCACCATCTCTTTGATTTGTGCCAGTTGCTTGCGGACTCCACCGATGTCATCGTAGCCAACTTCATTCAAAGCCTCCTCTTCTTCCTAAGATTGAAGTATGAAAAATAAAATACTATGAGTTCGGGAAACTTGCTGTAGCGCCATGTTTGACTTTTATGCATTGTGTAGGGGTCAGTGAAGATGGGGTAAACACGATGTCCTGAATATTGTGCTCAGTACATTTTCAGGTGATGAACATAGCAAGCAGTTTGAAATGTTCAAAAGTCAGAAATAAAAAAAAAAGCCAAGTGCATACACACAATTTTCATTTCGAATGTGCACAAACACATACTTCAATGGCACATTCTTCAGCTGGTAATCATTTCTTCTAAGTTACATGTTGTCTGCAAATTAAGATGTCTTCTGTTGAAATGTATTCAAAGTCAAGTTCTTCGAATGGGCAATTCCAACATTATGAAAGGAAACGTAATGTTTGCGATAGAGCCAACAGGCATGCAACATAGACGTAAAAAAATAAAGAGGAAATTCCAACTTAACAGAGCTTTTTTCAATTTTTAATGGCATAAGTGTGAAGTGAAACATGAGGAAATCAACTGATCCGAGGAAAAGTTGCATGCCTGAGCAATGTCTGTAATCTCCTTGACCATTACTAGATGGTGGATGTATATGATGTGCAAAATGCATTTTCAAAACCTCACTGACCTTACCTAATGCTGGAAATCTCCACATACAGATTGGGGCTGTATCGCGGCTGTCAATATTAACCATAACTCCCTTGCGTCTTTTACAAGGAACTTGACCAATTCCATCAAAATCCATCAATCACTGTGCGTCTAATACAAAACTGTACATGACATAATGGAATCCACCACTAACGCACTGGTTGACATTCATGGACTTGCTACACATGGCTTTTATCACAATAGCAGTACAGGAAGCTAGGCAAAATCAATTAAATACCCCTAGCACTGCTTCAGGCCATTAGGCCCAAGTCCATCAAGCTCCATCAACATTTAGTCACGCCAGGCCTTCTGGACCAAGTCCCCCAAAATCCACCAAAATGGGGGGATGGATTTTGATGGAGTTGGGGTGGTTAGGGTTAATTAATAACTCCTTGATGGATCATTAGAAGCACTTTGACTCTACCTCTCTCTTGATTGGCTCTCCTTCGCAATGGACCATGGTATCCGGAGCAACAATGCAGTATGGACCAGGGTCTGTCTCCACGACCTTGAACTCCACACCACGCAGACCACCACGGACCAAGAAGATATCTCCCTTACGGACGGGACGGTAGGCCTCAGTGAAGTAGGGCTTCAGGTAGACCTCAAACAGATTGCTGCAAAAAAACACCTTATGTTGTTAAATCCACAAAAGAGGGTTCCACACATCTTAAAATGAAATTCCATGACTTTCCAACAATTTTTGCAGGGCAAAGTTTTTCCTGCGCTGTTTCAGCTTCTTGAAAGCCTATTGCTCTAGAGGCAAGGGACACCACTCCCTTTCAGTCTTTCAGTTTGATGCAAGACCACTGAGCAACACAACGGTATCGCAGTGGTGCACTGAACATGCAACAAGTGTAGAGCATGCATGCATAAAGCGGTAGTGCAGTAAACTGGAATGCATAATGGAAGACTACCATAGCCAAATATTATGCATCATCACAAATGCGTTGTACAGGATTTCATGGCTATTCCGTGACTCTTTTCTTGGAATATCTACTTTATAAAATAACCAAGGACGATATTGTCAATTCAAAAATAGTCCAAAAATTGGATAAAAAGTCTGAAAGATGTATGTCTTTCTATTATGATGTCTTTCTCTCAGATCCAAAGAGTCCGAGTTTTGACTAAAGTCTGAAAAAAATCATAACCAAAGTTCCATGATTTGTCCATGACTTTCCATGATTACATTAAATTATGGGATTTTCCAGGATTTTTCCACGACTATGGGAAAGCTGTAAATACTCACCCCGACAATCCTTCCACAGTGTCGTCCAACGGCAAGACGTGAATTCGCTTGCCATACTTCACATCGGGGCATGCCTGAACACTGTGCGTGCAATAGAAAAAGAAACAGCAACTTCTAAAACACGTACTGATATCTTTTAGATACAATCAAATTCGTGTGCAAGAGCATAATATATCTTAATCAAAAACAGTTAAGTCCATACTTGCCACGAAAAAAAATACAAAAATATACTTTGCTCACAACATATCACTAATGGAAGAACAAGGAAATGCGTAATAACAATAAACAAGTGCGTTTATCCTCATGCATATGAGGCTGCACTTTCAAGGAAGGAAGGAAACATGTTTGGTGAACGGATGTTTTTTAACAGTGCATAGAAAATTTCAATGTTTTGTTTGCATTTTCTGTTTTATGAAAACCCTCCTCCTGTTTGATCAGTCACAGTCACAAATTACTTCCATTTCCCCTGCCATGCATTTGTATACAGACTAGTAGGGAACAGTCAGATCACGTTCGTGTAAACCAGTGTAAACCGTTCTGTGACCAGTCAAATTCCATCAACAGATAAAAGAGGTAACTGGTAGGTACAGCTGGCATATCAATCACCTCCAGTCAAAGCACGGCTATATAAAATTGGCAAGGGAATTCTAAACTGTTAAAAATAGTCACTTGATTGATTTTGACTGCCGTGATGGCGTAGCTGAATTTGTCAGCCAGAGAGGGAGGAGACTAATGTGAACAAACTTCAAAATAAAAGCATTTCTAAATCTACCGTAGTTTTCGGAATATAAGCCGCGCGGCGTATAAGCCGCAGCACGCAAAAATCTGCAAATTAAGATTTGAAGTCGGCGTATAAGCCGCATCGGCGTATAAGCCACACCAACCGCAGCCGTTTAATTTTGTAAGGCCTCCAAATTCTAGTCAAAATGCTCTGAACCAGTTCCATTTACACTACGAAAGCTATAAAAGGGCCACATAAGTTATGTCAAATCATTTACAGTCAATTACTCTTACAAAAAAATATAGAAATTGATGATGAGAAATAAAAAACGGGAATTGCTGCTGGCTGGCTCGTCAGTGAGCCTGTGCCGGCGACTGACATTATTTTCCCCCAGCACTTGAGAGAGTATGCAACCCACCATGTGTTGTCTGACTGGAGCGCTACAAATCCTGCTTTGTGGCAACAGACACTGAGTTGTTTTGTCTAAAGGACAAACAAGTCCGTTTTTACAGCAAAACTTATCAAATTGTTGTGATTACTAACGAGTAGTAACGTCAAAAATTCAAGTTTGGATCGTAACTTTCTTTGAAAACAGTCAACACGATGCTGAGATTTTTATGGACGAATCCATTAATTTTGTAAGGGGTGATTTCACCCCTGTTTTGAGTTTTACATCGTTTCTTAAATACATTTCAAGAAAAAAAATATATTGTGACGTTGAACAACTGGTTATCAATATGTTTCAAACTCCATAAAAAGTATTAGTTGTCTTTTTTCTTTTTTTAAACAGGGGAAATATTGGTAATTATTGTTCCCAAGAAAGTACACCCCTTTATTACCACAAATGGTGTGGTCCATGGGGAATTCATGCAGCATGATGCAGCATATGCAGCATCACGTACGGCCGGTTGTTGCTGTCCAAGGGACAGCTTTCATTAGCCGTACCTTTTATCGCCCGGTACCTTTTTGTGGGACGTGCTTTCGGTTTGTTAATGACTTTCTTAATTGATAATTATTTCAGCAACACATCTCTTCTTGTACCAGTACATTAAATACACATGTAAATGTCATTTTTATTCTTCAAGTCTCGGCGTATAAGCCGCCCTGTGTATAAGCCGCAGTAAACATTTTCATGGGCAAATTCAACGTATAAGCCTATATAAATTCAACGTATAAGCTTATATTCCGAAAATTACGGTATTCTAAAACGTCTTACATCACATTGACGTTGTTTTATATTCAGCATTTACAATACACCGAGGCTTTCACCGCTGCAAAAAAAGATTGTGATTTCCTCTGTTTAATTGTTTAACACCTGTTTGGTTGTTTTCCAAAGAAAAAGATCCTTACCTGACGATATCTCCCAGACGAACCCGCAGGTTGTTTCTGATGACGCGGTTGATGCGTATCTTGTCATCAGCCAACTGGTCGTCTGAGAGGACAATGCAGACAGTGTCGCGACGTTTCTTGCCCTTCAAGAGGACAGTGTCACCCCTGAAGAGCTGTAGCTCGTCCATCTTGGCCTGGGGGAAAACAAAAATAATTTTAAAAAAATAATACACTAGAAGATCAATTTTCTTGGAATTTTCTCAGAAAAGTGATATTTGAAACTTGACTAGACAGGGTCCAGTGATGTCAGCACTGGGCCTAATTTCATGGCTGTTTACTTTTCTAGAAAGGGATCTGCTTACTACAGCAGAAATTGTTTTTGTCGCAGCTGAGTGTGATATTTCGGCTTATGCCCATCCCTACAACCGGTAATTAACCCTAAGTTCCTAGGCATTTCTGCTGGAATGCAACCACAATCCTGCAAAATCCTCCAACTGCCTCCATGTCAAAAAAGCATACAGCCTCATTCCTGCAAAATCCTCCGATACTTCTTGAATGTAGTGACCACTGCCTCAATCCTGCAAAATCCTCCTGCAATCACTGTCAATGGGTTGAGTCAGAGCTAGTGACACCCTGGAGCAGTACAGAGGATTTCAAGTACAATCTAGGCCTCAAATTATGCACGACTGTGCACAAACAACACAAGGTCCGGCCCAAGACCTTGTCACAGCACTTCCTCCAAACTCAGCCGCACATTTTTGCCATACAGCGTCAATCCTGCAAAATCTTCCGTTTTGCAAAGAGGATTTTAGAGGATTAGGGAAGGTTAGGGTTAAGGATTTGCCTTTCAGGGTTACCACATAATGTTTTCGCAGGGCACAATTAGCACAGAATGGTGATCGCAAGTGCGGAATTCTGTGGTTAGAAAAACCGAGACCTACAAAATGTAGGTCTAGTGCCTTTCTAAGACTGAAAGAGATTGTAAAGTGGTTTTTCAGTGTTGATCATTGTTTTACCCTGAATGTTCCATTTGACATTAAATCCACTTTTTTTATGAAATAAAATTTTAATCTTTATTAACTCAATTTTCACCCTTGTCGTAACTTTTGTTTCCCATTCAGCAAACCGTGAGACTTTTCTTATTTTGACACAACTCTTCCTTTCTGAGTGACTAGACTAACATTTTAACTTCAGGCCTATCTGATTCAAACCTACCTGTGACAGCGACACGACTGAGTTATCATCATTGACAGCATCTTCAACAATAAGCCTGTTGGGTTTAGCCTTGGTGCGCAGAATAGCTGTTGCGATATCATCACTTTGGAAAAGAAAAACATATAAAATGCATTACTAGATTGAGTTTTACAAAAGTGTCAAGAAAATGGAAGAATTCATCTGCCATCTTTAAGCCTAAAAAGGGGGCTGCCTCCTTCCTTTTTTCAATAAGACGGTTCTCGAACTGCACATCTCGCCTGCTTTCGCGGTTATCTTTAAAGATCATGTTGTCGAGCCCGCGGCGCGGCCGACCATACAAACATGAGGTCATGAACTGTGCAATGCATATATTCATAACCTTGCCCAAGGGCGCCCGCGAAAGCATTCATGTTCAATGCACAAAACCAGTCCACCATTTTGAAATCCCAATGGAGGAACGTTTTTGAGACGATGTTTGTGGGAGCTGAAGACTAATCGTCGTTACTTGGCCAGATGGATGAAGATTTCTAGACACAGGAATGTGTTTTGGAAGAGTTATGAGTTCCTCTACGAGCAGGTACCCTAACTTCGGAAATCTCTGTCCTGGATGAAAAGATTATCTCGCTCAAAGTCGGTAGCAAAATCGCAACAATCAGCATGATCAGTTTCAGGCGTCCAGGGGATGTTTGCCACTCTGGCCGTACTACAGAGAATTTTGATACTGTACGGCCAGAGGCATTCGGGCTAATAGAATACATAGACGTAAAATTTGTAAAACAAGAGTAAAATAATTGTCTTTTTCTGAGTGGTATTACACAAAGGTCTTATTAACGACATCAGTCGTCATATCAGTCGTAATGCAATGAAGCGAGCGTCCTACCTGGTGTAACGGTTAGGAATTTGGAAAACACGAGGAATTCCAAACCTGTACAAAACTTTGAATAGTATTTTTCAATTTGCAGATTAAATGGTATTCATGAGAAATTTTTAAAAAGCAATGACTGACCTTCATTGAGCGAGTTGAGATGATTGATAAAAGTGGCGTCAGGTTGCAACATTTTTTCAATTTTAATAATAGGCCTAGGCCTACTTAAAAAGGGGGGTACCGGTCATGCCGATTCACAGTCAAATATATCCACTGCCATTGTACTTTGTAGGTCAACCAAAAAAATGTTTACATTCATCATTGATGATCAACTGATCAAATTCATGAAATGCTTCAAATTGTAATTTCAATCTAGCCAGGCCTACACAAATGTTGCCGAGTCAGTGAACGTCATGACGGTGAAAAGCATATTCGATAACAGTAACAACATGCATGACATGTCTAAACAATAACTGTATATTTTTCTCCAACATTGTTTTGCAGGGTAATTGTAAAACTTAAAGACAAACAAAAAATCTAAACGTTAAACAAACAAGTACTTTAGGCCGTAACCATTCCATACATTAGCCTGCCAATTTTACTTGCTTACTTTCCTCCTTCTGCCATGATTTGTGCAGTGATTGTGTTGTTCTTTCGACTGGTCTTTTTACTTCAACTCCAACCTCTTTTCTTGTGACCGTTTGTTGTACACGTTGTAGAAATTGTGTCAGCTAACTTTGTCTAACCTCTAGTTTCGCTACTGGTGATTCACGTTAATGGCTGAACTACGCGGATATGCCGAGTCACCTAACAAAAAACCCTAATAGTAATAGTACATGTAATATTGCAATGCCGTCACACAGCTGAGCTGGACATGCAAAACACACATGGGCCGATTTTACAAAGTACGTACCCTACGACGAATGAGAACGACACACAAAATGCATTGTCCGATATCACACGTGTAATGACATGAGCCTTTGTGACATTTATTTTTCGAATGCTCAATTCAAAATTTCCTTAAAAATATAATTAACCATTGTATAAAAATAAAATGTTATATTTTACAATTAATATTTATGTTCATATTAAATTATGAATATTTAAATTTTTACAGCCATTTGTGAATTATTTAATTTTGAAAACTTGACTTAGAAATAAATTTAGAAGTTATTACGTAGTCTGGAATGGGGCTGTGGCCAGACTGCTTCAAAATTGATTAGTCAGGGTAAACGTCTGGTATCTTCTCATATTCTATTGCTCAACGTTGATTACATACTGGGCACAAGACGTAAGTACAACTTCTTCCCCAGGACATTCGACACTATCGTTCTCACGAAGAAAAAAAAATTGGCTTCAACTTCGTCCCCATATCGTTCAAGCAGTACGCTACCAGTAACTGCTTTTTCTTCACATCATTGCGCAGAAGCTAACTTGAACTTCATATAATAAGCAAAAAGAAATCGTCGATGGAGTACATAGTTTGCACCATTTTTTTCCATCGAACCATGACTAGTCCCGCCCTTAAATTTACACAAATTTGTACTTTGTTAATGTTTAAGCTGATGTTTTGAGCCTAGACAATCGTCCGGCTCCGTGCCCTTTACTTCTTAAGTGATCTAGAATTTGAACATTTTGCTATCACTCTTCTGTTCTTATAAAAAACAATTTAAAATAAAAATCTCAACCAAAAGTTTGAAGCCGGTGAGGGTTTTTGCCAATTTTAGTGGCAAGAAATTGCACTCGGCATCCGTGCTGCATGCAAACTGGGCGCTCGTGAAAAAAAAACACTCGTCACGGAAAAGGGCAATCAAAAGAAAATACTGTGTTCCAAAATAGAATTTCGTCCCGTTAGCAATTTTCATCGATGGTCCTGATTTGCTTCTATCACCATCCCGATTTTACTTTTCAAATCTCCATCCCGTTGCAATCTGCTACTCTGCACCCCCCCCCCCCGATTATTATTTATTCAACGGACAATAAAGTTTCCAATCCCAACAACTATTGGTTTCACTCATAATTATAAAATATGCCACTTCTATTTGCATACAATAAAAGTTGTAAAATTGCAGTTATATAACGAACTGTAACTCTGAAGTTAAGTACTGATTTTGTTTGATTTTTAAGGGTACTCAGCATACAAATTCACTACCATCTTCAATTTAGCGCATGATGTCCTGTACCAGGCCCGGTGTAGCGTGAATATCCGACTCCATGAAATGTGGATTCATTGGTAGTACTGCGCACGCGTGAGTACAATACTATGCTATTTTTAGGATCGTTTCGGGAGAGTGACCTGTCACGTGCGAGGGATCAACCAATAATAGGGAAATAGGGGTCCGATTTTCATAGGAGTCGGATTTTCATGTGACACCGTGAATAATAAAAACCACATCATCCAACTCACATACTCACAAAGAAAACTCCAGTCAATCGAGATCATTGTAAAGAAATATACCATGATGATGGCCAAATTGCGCCTCGCCGTGTTTGTTTCTGCTTTGGTTTTGTACCTTAACTCAAGCACTTGTTTTAGCCCTGTCGAAGCCGCGGGCGTGCCCGTTAATAAGAGGACTACACGTCAGAACGGTGAGTTGGCTTCCGGGTTTTATATTCGAAATGGCTCTTTTTCTCTCTTTAAAGACCGTATATATCGAGCCTTTAAAAATAAAATCCGGTCACTAAAAGGACTCATATGAGTAATATAGGTTTTCCCAGCCAATTTTCTGAAATGTTCATTCACTTCTGAAAATCGGTCATTCTTTTTTGTCTGAATTTGAATGCACGTTCTTAACCCCATTACAATTCAACGGTACGAAAGTTCCATGGTTTTCGTTGTCCGTGCATTCGGTTTTGAGAAACAGACGGCCAATGTGCATTAATTTACGCAAGCATACCTCTTCTTAATTGATTTCAGGTACAGCTGATTTGATTAACGGTTAATGAAAAAGAAAACCCTAATAATTGTATCTGGTGCCGATGGCATTAAACTAAAATCAAATAGAATGGTAAATGTTTGAAATCGCCCTCTAAAAGCGAAAAAGAAGTCTTGTAAACGAATCTGAAAGAGCATAAACGAAAGGTGTTCCTCAAGTGATTGAACTCAAATGGAATCGAATGCTCTGGTAGCAAAGATGAAACGCGTGTTCAGAGCGATTCTCAAATTCAGACGAAAATGAATGACCGATTTTCAGAAGTGAGTGAACATTTTAGGAAATTGGCCGGGAAAACCTATATTTTTACCAATTTTGGTGAATTGCCCCCAAAATGTTTGATGTTTGGACGAACATTGAACAAGAAGTTTAGCAACAAATTTCCGTATTTGTTTTCCTCAGGGCGTCACCCCTATCCCCTTTATAACTCGAAAAAATGTCCGTAAAAAATCCTGATTTTTTTTTTGCAGTGAGTATAATTATCATCAGTGATTAAAGTTAACAAATGGTGGCTATTTTCTGTTCACTATCTTTTCATGTGTATTGTAGAAGTAAGCGCTTCCTCAATTTACCAACTGGGTGACATGACGTCTTGTACTACGGGGTTGAGTCTGGTGAACAGCGGGCTGGACTACAATGGGTACGGGTGTTACTGCGGCTACGGGGGCACCGGCAGCCCGCTGGATGAAACGGACACGTAAGATGAGCACTTAATAGACGTGCCCGTAGCACATTTTCAAGCAACTTGTTCAAAGAGAGACAACAAAATGCAAATTTTAATTCCGTGCGAAGCTCTCAGGAACGAGCGATGTGTTTTGTTCTTCATATCCGGGCTCCTTAAGTAGCCTGCAAGCTGCCTGTGAAATTGCTTCGTGTCACTTAGCCTCTAAGGGTGCAGACCAGTAAATCGGTCCGAAATTGCCTACGCCGGCCAAATCACGATTTGCATGCCCTCAAAATCTTCAGTATTTGAGCATGCTGTGGGCCATGAACTTGAGGGTTTGTGGGTGGAAGCCGTGCACAGGACTGGGGGCTTGCAGTTCTGTGTAATTTGGATGTAATTTGGACCCTAAAAGCGCTCTATTTTGCAATGGAGTGTAGGCATCGTTTTTCAAAATGGCGATGGGCTTCAGGACTATTTTCAGGGGTGATCATTTTCAGATGGAAATTTCTCCTAAAAGTCATCAGTTGACCCCCGAAAATTGAAAAGAAAATGAAAGATGATGAAATAAGCTTTAATTTGATGTGTGTCTCGAACACCTTGGAGAGTTGTGAGTATTTTTCCCGAATTTTTGAAGTGGGAGCATTTACCATTGGGGTCTATGGAAGTTTATTTACTGGTCTGCTACCCTAAGCTATTGTCTGCGTCCATCCAAGACTGGCTTTGGAATTTGTGCCATTATGCGGCCGGCGCAGTGACAAAATTTATGCGGTCGGGCCGCAGCCGCAGCAGTGCATGGTAGATGGCGGTGGTAGGTGAACTGAGTCCAGTCTGGGGAACTTTGGCACTGGTTCCCCAGGAATTCCGAGCGCGCGCGAGGTTTGCTGCGAATTTCTTGGGTCCTATAAATGCCACGAGCTAATTAAGTCCCCTATAAATTAATTAATTAATACGGTTGATGTAGCGCCCCCTACCGTCAATAGAACCTTTGCTGCGCTCGCCACGGGTTAGGGAACGGCTTCATTAGGGGTAATCGAAGTCCAATCTTGAACAAAGACCGCATCTGAGCACAAAACAGGGAGCGGTGGAAGCTGAAAAAAATACCGAACATTTTATCAGACATCTTGTGGAAAGGCTTAAGTATTTACTTTCTTGGAGTTTAGGCACTCTCCTGAAGACGGTCAGAGCATACTGACCGGAACGTCGAGTTTATACCTCTGGTTCTTTTCAGAACCATTCTCTTAGTTGAGAAATCATTCGCACATGGTGTTTCCGCAAACCTTTCATTATTTAGTATCTCCCGGCCATGCAAAGCCTCAAATCTTACTTATTCACCAATTGCTGTTCAACTCATTGGTAAGTTTACCAGTATACTAACAATAAAACAAAATGTGTGTGTTAATTCTCTATACAGTTGCTGTTATGCTCATGACAAATGTTACGAGCAAAGCCCGTGTCCCGATTCCTTGAAGTACTCCATTCCATACAAGAAGAAACTGAGTTCGTGTGGCACTGACGACGCAACCATCACTTGCAGTAAGACACACGTTGAGAGTTATTGTTGGTCCGGATAAGCCCACTAGGGTTGTGCATTTTTCGAATAATTTATCATTCAAGTATTCTAACTTGGACTTGAACATTCGAATATTCGAATTTTCGAAATGTGCTGATCGAGACATGTGCCAGCCTATAAACTGACCAGCGATCGGGACTTGCGTTTCCTGTACTGGTTGTCGAAAATTAACAAAAATCGTAAAAAGAAGAGTAATGAAATGGTTGACATTTGACCGATTTTAAGACAAAAAATGAGCTTATAATCTCATGGAAGAGCTCAAATAATGCGCAAATAAAGAGGATTTCGACAAAAGTGTTGCATTTGAAAGATTATAAAACCGTGCAACTTGGCGATTAAAATATCATCGTCACGGACGTTTTTCATCATCGCCTCGAGACCTCTCAAATTCTTTTAATATTTAAATTTTAAAAATCTGTTCGGATATTCGGTTGATGATTGAATATTCGGTTGATGATTGAATATTCGAATATCCAGTTTATCCGGCACAACCTACAGTCCACTATATAATTATAGGCTGTGCCGATGAAAGCTATAGTGACAGTGTGATTGTTCAGTGTTGCAATTCCTTTAATTGTTGGTTGAAATAAACAGGTGATATAATTATTTCATTTGAATTTCTCTATCAGAGAGGGCCTCCGACTACCCATGGTACTACGGGAGCACGAAGTACTGCGCTGAAGCAATCTGCAACTGCGACAAAGCTCTTGCCTTCTGCTTCAAGGAGACGCGGCCAAGCTACAACGAGGATTATTGCGACTGGAGCAACTCCAAATGCTAGGCACTGGGCCAATAAGTCTTCGAAACGATTGTGTAGTCTTATCGTCAATAATAAGTATTGATAATAGTCATGACATCGCACTTTATGAATAATTAAACAGCACCCTTTAAAAAAAAAAAGGCGATCGTGGCAACAGCCTGGACTTTGTAGTCTCCACTCAAGTCTCATATACTTCGCTCGGTTTTGAATTCCAAAGTTACGATGACCTTGTCAAAAGGTATACAAGAACCTTAACAGCCCGATTTGCAAGAGCAACCGTAGAAAACACATTATTGGCCAACAAAAAGCCGCTACATAGATGTAATTTGTGAACAGCCACAAAAATGGTCGCACGCTTTAAAGATTCTAATAGTCGTAGGAAACGGTTTCTTTTTAAAGGATTTTGGAATATCACTTCCGTGAGCTATTTTTCACAATCGATGCTAATAAAAGGCAAAACTTTTGTTAATCTGAAGTAAGCGTTTACTTTGTCTGTATTTTTCTGTACATTCATGCATGATCCGTTTTGTAATTGTGGAAGAACTACGGCAAGAGATCGTTGATGGTCCACACTTCAAATTTATGAATGACCTTTGAATCGTGAAGCGAGTTCGGTATTCCAACTGCGCATGTGCACATCAAGATTTGCCGATTTTACTTTCTGGATACAAATTACATCGTATGCGTGCAAAAGCATAGCGGGGTTCCAGCAAAATTGAAGAGATCATCGTGTTCTGAAGTACAACATTTTGCAAAAAACTTTAGACAGCGAAGTGTTCTTAGGTGTTTTGTGTGTCAAAACTTTTGTGCGAACGAAAGTTCCATCTCTTTTGGATTGCACGGAAAATTGCACAGAATGCAGATTGGTTACCACGGTCCCCCATAGCCTTTTGTGCATTTATCTGCCGCGGTTATCCCGGCAAATTCGTCGAATCTTTCTGTGCACCAGACTATTTTGGAGTACCGAACTGGCTTATTGGTTCATACAACAAGATCATTTTATGCTGTTTTACGAAATTCAATTTTTATTTTGGCAATTAGGTAACTGTACTGCGGAAGGAGTGCCGCGTGTCAATTTCATAGAAAGCCCTCCTCCCCCCCCCAAAAAAAATACACGTTTAATACCGTCCAAAGTTCACGAAATCGACCCGAAAAAATACACCTATTAGAAGGGCTAACTTCAATAGGCCCAGATGGTCGTAGTTGTGGCGCTAGATCACAATACCAATAATATTAATAGACCTTTCTTTTGCTCGTAAACATTGTCGCCATTTTATATGGGCTGCCGGAAGCGCATAAATTGAAGACGTGGTTGGCAACATATTTTTCCAAAAGAAAGTCCTCATAATGCCCTCAATACATAGTAAAAAGGCACGTGTAGGAATTATTTTGTAGCTTTACTGACAATGTTGTATTTTCTATATTGTTTTAATATTTAATATTGTTTTAATATTTTGTTTGTCTGTAATAACTCTTCTTCGTTTTTGCAGTGTTGGACCTTCCATAGTTTTGCAACCTGTGGTTGGCAAAATGTGCAGTTGCCAACCACGCGTAGAAAGGTCTATAGGTCAGAAAGGTCTTATACAAGTTGAAATTCAATGGAAAAATCACAATTCCACTTCTCATGTCTCATCACAATATAAATAAATAAATCCATTGACATCCACGCCTGGCTGATTTTGGCCTATAACCAGGAAATGTATTTTGCAAAAATATATTTATCATTTAGAATGTTTTCAACTGCAATGCAAAGTTGAAACCATAATCTGCTAGAGATTGCGCAATGTGATCAAAAATAAAGATGGCAAAATTGAAATTAATAGAGATTTAAAAGGACTATTTTAATGCGAAACTCCAGTAAAACAATGATGTATTTATTTTAAAATAGTGTTTTTAAAATGTATGAGTTGAATTTTGTTTTTCATAATTAAAATAAATGAAATATTGTAAATATCTCAAGTCGAATGAGACGCTGAAACAAAGTAATTGATACTGAAATCTTTTGAGGTATTTACAAATCTGAAATGCTGAAGTGTTCTTGCAACACGAGAAACTCACTCCAATCTCTATGTACAGTAACGGTTGTTATTGTGTCAACATACTAGTCAATCAATGTCCTAATGTCCCGATTCAGAAAAAGAAGTCGTGAGAATTTTCTTCCCACCGTCACTTGTTCAAATTGACCGAACAAAATGAATCTGTGTACAACTTTTTTTTTAAATTGTCTTCAAAGCTAATATTTAACAAGCAAAGGTAAACAAGTTTATTACACACGGAAGTTATAATTATCATTATTTTTAATTAATTATTTCTGGTAATGAAACCATGGATTCCTCAAAAGCGCCCTATGAAGCTCGCAAGCCTGAAAAAAACCTGTAGAGAGTGGACAATGAGAAGAAATTACAGCTTAAGAGGTGGGAGGAAAACTACAGAAGTAAATATTCTGGGGAATACCCACGGAATCAGGCAGGGACTGACAGCCCAATCCACATTGCCCAGGCGGTAATCGAACCACCGTCACGGCAGTGGAAGGCAAGGAAAGAACCGCAACGCAACCTTACTCCCTATTAGAATTATACATGTATACAGGTTTTCATTTTCTACATTTATGAGCTGTACAGGACAATTAAGTGCATAATATACAAAAACGAGTTGGTACTTTCTCTGGCCGTCCATTAAAAATGGACGACCGGGGAGCAATTTCTTATTTGCAATCAAGTCCATGACTTTGTATAGTCACTGACAACATAATGGGCATGCGTCAGTTAGTAACGAAGTGGTCCTCGGACTTAACTTTCCTTTATGAAAATATCCCCAAAAGCCACGAATCACGGGAAAGGTAATAGTTATGTCATCGATGAGTACAGGACAGCAGGACTTGATTAAACACGATTATAAAAAAAAATCACTCACGCTAATCACGCATGCGTATTAAGGTAACTGTCTTTTATGCTTCCGTTAACTGGGGGGGGCTTCCGTTAACCTTGATAGCCTCTTAAATTGTACTGAAATCTGGCCTTTAAAAGATTGTAGGATCCTGCAGCTCGTCGTTTTCATTCAAGACGTTCTCCCGCGACAACATGACGCGTTTCATCTGGACATCCATTTCCCATCTCTGGTGATGCGGTCCCCGACGGCACCCCTCCGGCCTCCGACCACTGGCGGAGAGCGTGTTGCAGCACGACCAGTAGTAGCACTGACGGTGTTCGGACCGTCGGTAATTGTACAAATGACCGTGTTTCCAGCGTTGCCACACCGAGGGAGGCACGGGCGGCAGCGGATGGAAGGTGCACGCCTCTGTCGATGGAGATTCCACGGAGTAACTTTGGGAGCACGAGAAACACTTGAGCCGCTGGCGGTCTTTTATGTTGGGATTGACCTCGAAGAAAGTCGCCCTCAGAAAGTTGTTTTCTCGCTTAAGTTCTGCATTCTCGGTTCTCACTTGATTGATTTCTTCCTCCCACAACCTCAACTTGTCGTTTTGTATGTTGTGGCTGCGCCTCAGTGTTTCCACTTTTTCCTGGTAGTCTTTTTCAATCGCGTTTCTTTCAATCTCGGCTCGTGCCAGCGCCAAGCCGACCTGGCGCAGCCGTTCCTCCTTAACCGCCGTCTTCATGAGCGCTTCGTCCCGTTCGCGCGCGATGGCTTCCCGCTCTGCCGACATGGCCCTAGCGTAACTCCGTGCCTCTTCGACCTCTACCTCAACGGTGGTCATTTTCTCCTGGTCCTGCTTTAAAACCTCCATCTGCGACTTCAACTCTTGAACCTCCAGTTGTTGAGAGGCTTCCTTATCCTCAAGTTTCTGGACCCTGGTAGACAGTGTCCTTAATTCCTCACAAGGATGTGAGGATAATTCGGCAGTCAAATCCTCCTCGTTGTTGTCATCTTTGAGAAACTCCAAACAGGAGCTCTCAACTGGCTCGTTTGGACTAGATGCTGCCATCTTTATGTTCTATGGAGCAAAAATAAAATCAATCATTTTTACAGAATTTTCGGATTTAAAATTTGCATTCAAATATTTTGGGAACGTTACAGCCACAAAAAGAAGTGATTTGCGATATGGGATCATCAGAATGACGCGATCGTATAAACTAGGGACGTAATACTCGGGAAAAGTAGCTGATTGCTTCACTATTAGTGGTTATTTTACTGGGCACTACCAGCAAAAATGAGCAAGACACGTCGAAATGGTGAGCTGAATGTGGACAAAGTGAAATAACAAAACAAAACAGTGTATGAAATCGACTTTCCTTCTCCGATCCGCATATACGTACGTCTCCCAAACTCGCCTCAATTTGCATGTGCAACACGTAACATGTACATGTACTTGTGAACTTGTTGACAAGTGGCGGCGTTGGTCCACCGCACGATAATGTAATAAGTTAAGAAAAAAACATTATGAATGAACGTGAATTACCTTCACTTTTCAGACAGAGTACTCGGGCGCAAATTGGAGACCTACATGTCGAAAATCTGGGAGAAAAGTAAAGTCAGAGCATGTATACCAGTATGTGCACATCGAGTACAACCAACTTGCGTTTGGTACCGTAACAGTATGGCGACACACGTACACACAACGCGTGCGATATTACCAGATGTATTGTTCACGACTACTTTGGTTTGGTTTTTCCCTGTTGCGCCATGCAGAATCCAACATCAGCGTGTATTATTTGCACAACAAAAGGACCGCTCAAGCGGTTTACCTGACCTCTTCTAACCTCGTCTGCACCGCCATGAAATCATCATTCGGGGAATTCCCGGTTGGAATACATTTGTTTGGGTTTGCTTCATTTTCAATACTGTACCCTTTTTTACAATATTTCCGTCCATGGTTGTAAAGATTAAATCACCCTCTTTTCGTCATCGGCTTTTCAGCACTGAGGGTAAAGTTCAAGTAAGTAGAATTAATTAGGACGTAAATAGATTTTGGAATTTCCGAATGCTGGCTGCAATTTTCTCTTTCCCTCTTTCGTTTTGGGTTGAGGTGGCAAATAGCACGAACGTGTTGTGTGTATACTGCAGTTATATTCAGCGGATTGGAATGCTCACTATTTATATTTTTGCGCTTAATAAAATCCCCGCCAACAAATTAGTTTGTTAAGACAGTTTTCACCCATCAAATGTCAAGTCGGAATAATAATTGTCTTATGACGCCTTTTATGGTTATTTGTTTTATGCTAGTAATTCTAAAAACATTATCTCATTGACATTAAACAGTACTGTTTTGCACCCTCATTACAATTTTAACAAAGAAAATTGAATTCGATGGATAGTGTAGTTCCTTTCACCACTTTCGTGGTCAAAGCTGGAATTTTATTTACGCCTATACTTAAAGAGTAAAACAGTCTTTAATGTACTTGTTCTCGTTGCCGAGTGTTAGATTCAAGGTGTAACATTCAAATTCAGATTAATAAAACTGCGGTTTAACCATATAGTAACTCTCGCGCATGACCAAACTTACTCAGGCTGAGAGGCTAAAGAAAACAGGATTACAGAGACAAACTGACAAAGGGTGGTGGTGGCACTGCCGTAGCTCACTTAGCAATTAGTGTTAAGCCTACATCTAGAATGTGTAAAATGTCTTCAATATATGAATTACGTGTCTCACCATCCACCTTTACATTATTTTTAGAATATCAAGGAACTTTTACTACACAGTCAACGCGATGCACATTTTACATACAGGTTTATAACAGCCCGAAAGGTAATGCATTAGAGTAAGTAACACGGTGTGGAAACCTTCTTCTTTAAGACATTGAAATCCTTTTCTTATTAAACTACACTCTATTTACTTGATGATTAGAACTAATTATCAACGGCTGCATAATATATTGGGCACCTATACCGTGTTCCACTTATAATAGTCAGTAGATAACAGAGGGCGCTATTCATTCCACACGCAGCCAAGGTGCGTATACAACAGTAGGGCAAGGGAAGGTTTTCGAGTGAATTTATTTCTACTAACAAAACAAGCTTATCTGATTCGCGAAGTGCCTTGTGCATTCAAATTTTAATAGCGTACGATATGAATTAAAATTGTTTGGAACAATCATTTTATTGATCCCTAATGTCTAGCATTTGGAGTTACTCCAGTTGCGATAAGCTGGGTTGAATGTTGGCCGTGTCTCCTTGAGGCAGAAGGCAAAAGCTCGGTCGCAGTTGCAGATTGCTTCGGCGCAATCCTTCTCGCCCCCGTAGTACCACGGGTAGCTCGAGGCTCCGCCTGAAACAGAAATTAAAATTCAACCACCCTGTTACAACTAATAATGTTATAATCACCAGCGGATAACATATCACCAACCGATTTATGTAACAATAATTATTGGCCGGTACTGTATCACTAACCGATAATGTAACAAAACTTTACTGATAGTGTGGTAATCGTTACTACACAATCAGTCCATTTTTGTTACATTATCGGTTAGGACTGATAATGTAACAACTATTGAATGATCATAATGTAGCGGGACGGCAAAAGGAGGCCGGCCCTCTATTTAAAGAGGACGAGTGTTCTAACAAAAATGATGATATGACGACTATTTCCATGAACATGAACTACAATAAATTTATTCTTAAAACAATTCCAGTATTCAAAGCCCTATGCACAATAATAGATTAAGATTAAGTATGACACCGTATACAATGTGTGTGTGTGTGTGTGTGTCAAAGTTCAACACATGTACGCTACACACTATAATACAAAACTACACAGTCATGACAGTACAATGCAACGAATGTCTCATCCCGAAACTACACAGTTTCTCTCACAAAATGATGATGAAACACAGCAAAATACTCACTGGGATCTTTCTATGAAGTACCCTCCCAGAATGATATATCTCAGGAGCATGGCAGGAGCCATGCTCCCTACAAAAAGAGAGAATTTGCGGAGACAATTTTATGTCGGTCTTCTCTGCTCGAAGCCCACAGGAGAAAACTTGTCTTTACGCGGGAAGCCCAAAGGTCATGATATGCAAATCACTCGCAAAACTTTTAGATAACAACAGAGGGCGCACTTGGTCTCCCTACAAGTTCCCTACTTTAAGACCACGCGACCCGAGTGGTCCCTAATAACACAAATACAAGGGCGACCTGATGGAGTTTATACAATTATCAATAACTAAGTGATTTGCAATGAATACATGTTACATATCTAAATGCAGTCATCAAATTAAAACGGGTTCAATGTAATATTACTTTCATCACAAGAATTATAAACATGCAATAATCCTTGAAAGATAAAGGGAAATACAACGTACATATCCACTCAAGGTTTGCTATATAAACCATCAGTAAGTCTAAACTGACATAAAATACATGATGGAATTAATATTCCACAACACCTTCCCAAATCAGCTCAAAATCATGTAAAGGATCACATAAACCCTGTCTGGAAAATGTTCACATGTCGAGATCTGTACACATTATAAGTAAACAAGTACAATAGTGTTGCACTCAATCTCATTCCAAAATTGATACATTGTAATACAATGAGGTCAACCAGGGTTAAACACAATACATGGTGAATTTATTACAGAGCACCCCTGCATGCACCATACACTGTCACTATACAATAAAACTGTGGTTTCATGCCAACAACTCTGAACATATACTCGTTATAATTTTAAACATGCATAACAAGGTAATGAAATCTAAATCACATTAGATCTGTATTAAGATATAAGTGAATCTTTGTTATAATGGAACAATTGGATATGAAGTGGCAGGCAAACAGGAGGTTCATACACTACATATAGGTCTCAGATACAAGTGGCTGTCAATACACTCGTTTTGCTAGCAAAGCACCGAGGCAAAATGTATTTTCTCAAACAATTCAGTGCATCCCCAGGTAGACTGCAGGGTAGAATAATACAAAGTTTCATTCACACTGTGAGAACAAACAGTTGGACAACTCAACCAACTACAACATCCTCCACCCACACAAGGCTAGGAAAACAATTACATTTCTACCCAAAACACAGCTAAACTGGTAGGAGCAACACCCATCACTAATGGTACTTAGGGCAACAACAATAGGAGAGGAATTTACAAAGTACATACACACATACATTTCCTGAAAATGGTCCTATAAATGGTAGATTGCATGGTGAAAGTGCCAGACAAATCTCACTTAAAAGGGTATACAAAAATATCCTATAATATTGTGAGTAAAAAATAGTTGGAATACACCAAACTACAAAACTGCTGACAAAATGTTCCACTTAGCAACTACACTAAAATTAGGAATCCACAATCCCGTCACTAAACGTTCTTAGGGAATAAATTTGGAAATGTAAACAAAGACAGACAAATTCCTATCCCATATAAAATGAAAGAGAGAGAAAAACATGAAAATGCCACGTCTCTGTGAACCAACCTTGACAAGTCAGGAAAAACCTTAAATGCATCTGCCTGAATCATGAAATTATAATGATCAATTAGTCATCATACAAAAGATACACCTACATGAACATGCTATAAAAACACAACATTATAAAAGGCATGTATAATAGTTGTACAACAATTCGTACAATAATCTCATTCAAACATGTGAATAACAACTAAATTTCAAAATAAATGGAAAAATATAAAATACAAGTTTATACAATGAAATAAGTACATATGGTGCGGATAAATCCTGTGTCCCTTTTTTTTTAAAGAGCAAAACACCAATATTTATACAGTAAAATATGGAGGGGCAGCTTGAGCTATCAGTACATAGCCAAATACATGTACAATAATCATGCTAGGCATAGATAAACACAAGTACTTTTAAGTAATGGCATTTGGCCACAGACCCCGAATATGAGGTACTGTACTCCTGTCAACAGTCATTATGGTCACCACTACTGCCAACACACAGAAATAAGCTGCGATACTACCCAAAGACAAGTGAGGGTTCCCTACTTTTTCTTGGGCCTTGCCATCTGACAAACTAAGTGAGAGGTGTGTTACATTACTGTAGCTAACTACATGAAGGCTATCATCGAAAACACTCACAGTGGGAGAAACAGAAACTACTCCTTCCACCTGCACATTACAAAAATCAGCAGCTTCAAGTAAAACCGTCTCAATTAGAAGCGGCTTAGCCTCTTCAAAAATAGCATCTACCACCTCAACTGTATGAGAACACATAACAAGGTCAGGACACTGCGATTCATGAACCCTGTCTTCACTAGGCTTCTCGAAACATTTCAAAATAGCGGCAAATCTATCATTCAGTGCAGCTTCAATGCTACTCACTGCATTTCTATCAATAGGACAAGCATCTTCATTGTGTTCACATAAAATATTTGTGAAGGCACTAACTATGGTCCTAGCTAAAGCACTATTTGACTTCGAAATAGAGTCTGGCACAGACATGGTTGGAATAATTACCTAGGAATGCACACACAAAAATATGACTTGTTACAAAATCAGGCCTCAATCACTGACCTACAATCAAGTCTGCATACAAACAGACAATAAAATACAAGTCAAAAATATGTCTAACTACACTGTAGACAAAAGTACAATTCCACTCTAAAAATCTCCAACTGACACGGTCTAAAAAGTCACCCAATTAGATGCCAAGACAATCTAATAATACAAGAAGCAAAGGACACAATGCACTGGTATAAAATGTCGAAAAAAATGCAATAAGCTGAAAACCACAATGGTGTGTGTGCAACAAGCAATACTAGTATTTGACTCAAAAACACTCAATCCAAAGCACAGGCCAACAAATAGCTCTATAATTATCTGCTCCTAATATAGAATCTACTACAGATTCACACAAGGCACAACTGCCTAAAAACTGAACAGATCTAAGCTTGGATACAAAAATGGTCAAATATCAAATACAATTCTAAAAATAGATTGTTACAATGAAAGTTACACAGCACACAATGTAGCTTGTCAATGAAGTCCTCTCAACGCAGGGTGAGGCAAAAATCAGATGATGACCATCACGTCCATGATCGCGACAATCAAACTCACGGAAGCGATTCAGTGCGATTCGTGAACACGAATTCCGGTGCACTAGAAAATCTAAAGTCCGGGGCAAAATATTTCCGGATAAAAACGTCGTCAATTAAAAGTTCACGGCAATGTAGAAACAGATGTCAACTGTCGGAGCACTCAATCCTGTCTACGACGCCATTTTGTAGCGGGACGGCAAAAGGAGGCCGGCCCTCTATTTAAAGAGGACGAGTGTTCTAACAAAAATGATGATATGACGACTATTTCCATGAACATGAACTACAATAAATTTATTCTTAAAACAATTCCAGTATTCAAAGTGTGACCGGCCAGACTTAAATTCCTGTAATTATGCTGCCAGGTCCCGTCTGTAAAATATTTCTTTGTCGATGTCTTATATTTTTAGCATAAACAGCGATGCGAAAGTTGTCGAAGCATTGCGAGCGCCCTCTTGTGTTTTCCGTTGAATAGAGCATACCGAGTTGCGTAACAATTTGCATATGACATGCAGTGCGAAAAAGCCTTTTATTGCGTGCAGTGTCTCAAAAGCATAGGGCTTCGGACGCACATTCCGTGAATTTTTCGCTAGTTTTCTTGGAGAGTAAGCAAGCATGGGTAGGTCACTTGACTGCTTGTCGTTGCTGCTGCCAGCCACACCTTATTGCGAGCCAGCTTGTCTATATTTTGCTGTGTTTCTCACGTGGTTTTGCCATGGTTAGCACGCCGCATGTGCATACACATATCGTGTTCATGCATATCGTGTAGTTGCCCAAACATCCCGAGGCATAGGTACACAGGCCACAACTGCTCCGGTAAGTGTTTCAACTTCGTAAATTTTGATGTTATCTCAAATAGCACTTTACGACACATTTTTATGCCATGAATACTCGAGGTTGGAAGCCAAGTCTGTATGAAACATTTTTATGCCATGAAACAAATATCCCAGGTTGAAAGCCAAGTCTATATGAAAATTGTGCATAAGATGACTTGAATTTTCGATACCGAACCTCCTGGTAATATTGACTGTATACTTGCACATACTTCGATCCTAAATACATGTTTCTTGAATGTTGAATTATAGGGTCAATGCACTTTATTGAAATCAAATTTGGATAGCGTGGATGGAAAGAGAAATAAGAGAATGTTCTAGCCTGAAATGAAACCATGAGACATATAGATGGATGTACGAATACAGAATATTGAATACTCTTTTTATGAGCATTACTGTTTAAACAAACAAATGTTAAGATATAGATGTACGGTATAAAATGCATTGTAAATTCATCAATATAGAAGAACTACGGATGTGTACACATGTACTGTGGAGATGAAACTTTTTGATGGCACTGATGATTATTTAATATTCCTTCATCGAAACATTTATTAGTATTTATGAGATTACTTAATATGTACAGTAATTTTATTACAGCTACTGCTTGTGGTTCTGTGGTTCCTGAGTGGTCACAAATAGAGAAGCCTTCTCGAGTAGACCAGTGTATCCCTTATCCAGCATCCATAATATTTGGGTACGTGTATAAAACATTATTGCTTGAAATGTGCCTAAGAAATTGGAGATTTAGAGATTTGGAGATTTGGAGATTAATGTGTTGTAAAATTATTGCATAGCAAGTGCTTATGGAGAATATTTCTCCTTGATTAAATTTTTATGCCTTTATTATTTTTATGCCTCTCTAAGAAATGTACTTGTAAATTCGCAGCAAAAACATTTCTATGGAACAAATCAATGGAAATTGAGGTTTATAGAACAAGTAAAGCAATTTCTCATGATAAAAGATAGCCAAGGATAAGGAGAGATGGTTATTTCAAATAATTAAATAATTGAATATTGGTTTCATAGTCATTGTATATTTGTAAATAAATTAATTTCTATTCTTCTGTTTTCTGTTATTACAGACTGCTGAAGAATGACTGTCGTTTTTTCGTAATAAAATTTTGATCAATTTATAGTGGAATATATACCCAGTGTCACTTTCAAATTTTTCTGCGTAACCTTTCCAGCTCGGTTACAAAAGCCCTATGCACAATAATAGATTAAGATTAAGTATGACACCGTATACAATGTGTGTGTGTGTGTGTGTGTGTCAAAGTTCAACACATGTACGCTACACACTATAATACAAAACTACACAGTCATGACAGTACAATGCAACGAATGTCTCATCCCGAAACTACACAGTTTCTCTCACAAAATGATGATGAAACACAGCAAAATACTCACTGGGATCTTTCTATGAAGTACCCTCCCAGAATGATATATCTCAGGAGCATGGCAGGAGCCATGCTCCCTACAAAAAGAGAGAATTTGCGGAGACAATTTTATGTCGGTCTTCTCTGCTCGAAGCCCACAGGAGAAAACTTGTCTTTACGCGGGAAGCCCAAAGGTCATGATATGCAAATCACTCGCAAAACTTTTAGATAACAACAGAGGGCGCACTTGGTCTCCCTACAATAATAACATTATGATCAAAGGCCCATTCTGTTATCGGATTCTCGCAAATAGGATCAAAAATTTGAAACCCCTTGTCTAGTTGTCTTGGTCGAAGACGTAACTGTACTGTCCGTATGATGTAGACGGACTTTAGTTTGAAGTATTACCGACAGCGGGCGCTATTTAAACACAGTGTGAACAACCAAGCAGGTCAGAAATCGAAGTACAGGACCGTCGGATTCGATTCAGCGCTGTGAATCAAAGGCCTACACACATTACGGAAAACAATGACATACAATTTGGAAAATTACAGTAGAAGTATAACGTTTGTTGGAGTTCATTCTCATAATCGGTTGCTTTTCCTCAATATCAGGAAATTTAAGATTGGAAATATTTTTTTATTGAGTTGAAATGGCAAAAAATTGTGTATGTTAAAAACCTTGAAATCGCGTAGTCACAGCGCCCACATAAACTTTTTGCCAACCACGGGTTGGCAAACTATGGAAGGCCCACGTCGAAAAAAAAATGAAGAAAACTTATCAATATTTCCAAAAATATCATTGGGTTGTTGAAAATACAAAACAATCAACAAACGCATCAAAAGACTTAACAAAAATGCCTCTTTCTCGCATAATAAATAAAGTGTTAATATGCATTTTTGAGGCAAAAGCTGTTGCTAACCATAGTTAAAATGTATGCCCTTGTGGCAGTCCATACAAAATTGGCGCTCAATATTTTACAAACAAAATAAGGTTTATATAAGACCTTTCGTTCTTTTAAAAACATCAAGCGCCATTTTGAATTCTAAGGGCTGCCCCAAGGACGTAAATGTAAGCCTTGGTTTGCAACAGACCTTGCCGAAACACTGCACATGAATACCTTCATAACGTAAAGAAAGAGGCATTTTATTTAATAAGAGGTAGGTCTGTTCCGAAGAAAATTAATGCCATTGGTGTCTTACTGCAAGTGATGGTGACATCGTCAGTTCTGCATCCGCTTGTGCTGCATTTGTAGGGAATGGAATAGTAGAGGAGGCTGGAGGAACATGGACTTTGTAGGTAGCAGTTGTCGTGGATGTAACAGCAACTATACGGAGTGATAAAAAGACACACAAATCAAATTAACGTTATTACAAGGAAGACAACAAAATGTGTGGCAATAATAATGTAGCGGGATCCTACTGGGCTCTTGTCCGCCAAATCCGGCCAAACGCAAGAAAAGGGGACAGACAGACAGACGGGATTTCTAACTCTGAAGGAAAATCTTATTTATTTCGCCGAGCGGACTCTGCGGGCAACTTGCCGCACCGCAACCAGAACTGCAACTGATCAATTCCCATCATAGACATGCACACAGTCTGAACAAATGTATACAATTGTAGCAACTTTACCCAACCCTGAAATCAAGCCAAGCCCTACCCGCGAAAGTGAACAAAAGAACCCCACTTAACCAACCTATTTGTAGAGCCTATTTCCGGAGCGCGCGCTAGCCAGACCCAAAAACCAGGCCAGGTGCGCGCCGCCGGAGCCCCTCCGCCAGAGCACTAGTGCTAGAAAGCAATGACAACAAAAGTGTGCACAGACTGTTCGTTGCAATAACTTTGAAATGTTTGTAAAGTTTGAAATGTTTGTTAAGTGGTGGGTAAAAACTTTTTTCTGTTCTATTACTCTGGTATTCATGAATGTATTATTTTTGTCACCTTTGAAAAATGAAGAACTCTAATTTAAGCGAGTCAAACAGCACATCGATCGAGAGTAAGAATAAACTAGCATGGGGCATACTCTAAATTTCTGAACAGATTTCAAATGTGAACAAACTTAGAGATATTCTATTTTTTTTAATATGACAATTTTGACATTGCACCATGAAATCTAAGTCAGTAACAGAGATTTAAAGCAAAATGTTGCACATGTGTTGCAAAATAAATTGTTAATACTTGTCGCGCTAGATTGTACAGTAACCTTAATCATTACACGAATTATAGTTTGAAAGAAAAGACATAAAAATGGAAAAAGAGGAATGAATATAAACTCTTTTAATTTCTACTTCGGTTCCGGGTGCATGCCCGCAATTCGCCCTGATGCGTACCACTTGATTCGTTTTTGCAATCCTTCATATTTGCAGTTATTCAGAAACGGAGTCAATAAAATAACACCTGAGGTCAATTGATCCAAAACGCCTTAGTTGTTTTGTCTTCTCCGTTAATACTTGACCTTTCTAAATTCTATGTAGTAGACCAGTAAAAACCTGCACCTCAAAATATCAGGGTATTATTTTTAATAGATAAAATAGGCCTAATGTGATAATCATCAGACTGATGGACCAATTTATGGGGGAAAATCTTTTCATTTTCAAAATGTGCGGGTAAGTGACATCCCAAGTACCACTTGAACGCGCTGTCTTTGAAACAACAATATATTAAACTTTTTTTTCTACTGATTTCCTGTGGGTAAGACTCCACTATACAGGCCCATTACACGTCCTCACAAGTCCTCCCAAGTCCATAACACGTCCTTTAAAGTCCACCACGCGTCCTCACAAGTCCATCACCCGTCCTCACAGGTCCATCACGAGTCCTCACAAGTCATGCCAAGTCCACCACACGTCCTAACAAGTCAATCACAGTCCACATAAGTCCATCAAAAGTCCTCACAATTCCATCAAAAGTCCTCACAAGTACATCACAAGTCTGCAACAAGGGCTGGTCCATCATGGGGGCCAACGGGGGCCATGCCCCCCCCCCCCAATTTGTTTTTGGGTTTTTTTATTTTCTTTAGTGACGTCGCAATAAAGGCAGGCACTGCGTATACACCACAATCTTTTCCTCAAAAACAAATGCTAAAGTGGTCAGAAATTGCCCCAGATCGCACCACAGAGCATCTAGAATCCAACAATTTACAGGGCCCCGAAGCGGGCCCCACTTGAACCCCTCGCCGTAATTTGTTGGACACACTTTTGGGTGGACCACATTTTTTTTGCCCTCCCCCCCAAAAAAAATATGTGTTCTGAATCCGCCCTTGGGCTGCAATCGAGTAGGAAGTCAAGTCACATGCTAGAGTGGGACAAAAACATTCTTTTGTCATTGGTTACCCCTGTTACTTGTGACTGGGCTTGTGATGAAAGGACGTGTGATTGACTCTTGACCGGACTAGTGGTTGACTAGACTACAACTCTATAGTTGTAATCGCTCCATGTTATACTTAGAAATCGGACAAGGTTCCTGAACATTAAATGAAGTCATCTTACGTGTCCGTTTCATCCAGCGGGCTACCAGTGCCCCCTATGCCGCAGTAACACCCGTACCCGTTGTAGTCCAGTCCGCCCTGGTACAGACTCAACCCCGTGGCACATGCCGACAACTCGGCAAGTTGGGGCGCAGCTTTGATGCCAACTGCGACATTAAAATAAAAAATAGTGAGATAAAACGATTTGAATGGTTATCGTAGCGGTACCTATTTCTCTGAAAACATCGTGGAAACTGTATGATTGGGATATGGGCCTATAAATGAGAGATACTCAGGAGTTGGTAATCGAAAGATCACAGCCAAATAATAATCATGTATATAGCCGCTGCTACTTTTATAAAACTTATGTCTTTGTTACGTTTTAATGGACTAACTTTTGAGAGAAAGCACTCGTGTTAAAGTTTCACTTTCTTACAAAATAGTATTTTAAATTGTCCTAAGTTTACGAAAGTCTTCTGATAATAATTTTGTTATGTCTTCTGAAAAAAATTGTGTTTCTTAAAAGGCATTTTTAGTATAGCTACTAGGGAATGAGAAGAATATGCAAAACGATAGGTGTCAAAATGGAATCTTTGGCTGATACGCATTCACTTTTACCCGGGTTTGCATCGTGACTTAGGAGTAATCCCTGCAAAGCTACATAGCACATACAACGAAGACATTGACGAATTATAAGGTGACCGCCAACATAAGGCTGGATGACACAGTTGGTAGAGCACCGGAACGGAAATCCGGAGGTCGCAGGTTAATTTTCAAAACCCCGCTCCAATCAATTTCTTTGAACAACTACTATTATACATCTAGTCAGTTTCATTTGTGGTTAATTTGGAGGAAAAAATGATATTCAAAAAATAGTAAATGAACAAGTATTGAACCCAAAGACAAATAAAAATCGCTCCTCAACCTGATATATTTTTCCCTTTTTATTCCGAGGGAAATTTCTTTCAGGGAAACAAAATGATTGTACTAACCGTCCTGTGTAGCTCTATTAGCTGGGACACCGGCATCAGTCAGGCCGACATAACTGCTCGTGCACAGACACGAAAGCAAAGCAGAAACGAAAACGGCGGCGCACATTCTGGCCATGATGGTCAGCTTATTAAAATGTCTTACCGCGTACTTGATGGTCAGATTTTTGTGGTAATGATTTCTGTGACTTGCACGCTACGGTGTTATACCATTGAACAAACGCAATAAAAAAAAATCTGGTGTTTCTGGATCTACATTGTGCTGGTAGTGGACATCCTTCGCTATAAGTGGATGACGTACCCCATTATATGAACAATACTACGAACAAATGGAAAAACATAGCAGTTATTATCCATGATTAATCTGCATAGCCTAACCTGATATCCCCCAAAATATGGAGAGCGCCCTCTTGTGGTATCCATATCAGATGGGTGCACACCAGTATAAAAATTCCCATAGACACCAGTAATAATTTGGCCGTACTTCAAAATTCTTTTTAAAATACTTATATCTCTCACAAGTGTTCATGCTGCACAGAAAAGTAATGGCCAACGCGTCATCTTTCATTTTCTTTTCAAGTTTGGGTGGGTTGACCATTGACTTTTCGAGAAATTCTCACCAAAGACGACCACCACTAAAACGAGTTATGTTTCCCTAACTGGAAAAGTGTCCATCTTGAAAAGGATCCCTCCACAACCTGGCTAAGTAGCGCAACTTTCGGTCCAAATTGCATGCAAAATGTGCAAAATTTGAAGCCCCAAGTCCAGGTCCGAAGTGCATTGCCACATCTCTTCAATTCCCCAATTCCATGGCTCTCAGAACTCTTTAATATAGAATACTTTGAGTGTATAACTTTTCTTCATGAGCTCTGCGGACGGATTTTTTGCCTATTTACTGGGGTGAACCCAGATACAGACAACAGTGTTAGTCTTCCATTAAAAATCTTAGGAAAATCGAGCGAAGCCAACTGAACATACGATGGGGTGCACTGCGGCCTCCATCCCCCCCCCCCCCCCCCCCCGTGGCGTATCCAGAGGCATATATTTTCCAGCAGTATACATAAAAACGCCCCCATTTGAAAGATGGGTACCACCCCCCCCCCCTTTCTTATTTTACGGAGGCCAAGTGTCCAGAGAAAAAAAATCTACATTTCGGCGCGGATGTGCGAGTGCGGTCTCCCCCCCCCCCCAACAACAACAAAAGCTGGATACGCCACTGCCAAACCCGATCCTGAAAAGTCTCCAAAAACAAGTAAAAGATACTAGCAGGATGGATGTACCAAAAAATAATGTATTGGTTTCACTCCCAAACTATCGACGTATTCGTTACGGGTCATTTTGTGTGGCTTTCTTTTACCTTGCAAAGGAAAAACGCCGGAGGTGTTAAAAAAAATGTATACAACTTCCTAATTATTAGATGCTGTGTCACGAAGACACGAAGGATATACCCAAAGGGCAGAGTAAGCCTAGGGATTCGTACGTCAGTCAGTGGGCTTCTGCCTCCTAGGGTGCGAAACATTAAACATGCGCCCCTGGGTCTCCTGTGTACGAGTAAAAACAAGGTTATATGCTGATGATGTCGGGTTTCATCCCTCATCCAAACACTGACATGCGTCATGCACTTACCATAGATGCGAAACAATGGCCTTTCATTAGGCACTGAGATAAGACAAGCACCCTCACCTAATGGGCGGATTCAGGAACATTTTAAAGAGGAGGGGTACGAGTCAGGCCCGTCAATTATTTTTTTTCAATCAGTAAATCAGTGCGGAAATGCAGACACTGTTTTTTTCCTCCCGACACTTGGCTTCCGTATAATCAAAAAGTGTGTGCGTACACGTGCGCGTGGGTAGGCATTACATTCACTGTGTGGACTTCCGAACAAATGAGGTCCACATAAACCAGGTAGAGGCCACGTTGTGTGGACTTGGGCAAGTCCACACAGTGTTTCCCCATTTCTGGAAAACAGGTTTAGGTTTATCCGTGGCAAAATGAAGAGAAACACTGTAGGGGATCATAGAAGTTTGAGAAAAATTATTTTTTTCACTGGTTTTTCTTAACTACACGAAACGAAGGGAATGTCCACACTTGGTATGTAACGTAAACTTGTGTGTGTGTGTACGTGTTCATCTTTTCAAACCGTGCACGAAAAATACCAGAGAACAAAAGCGAACAATATCGTCCACGATTCCCAGCACACGTCCGTGATTTTGGTCGTGTACAAAACCTATGGGAGTCGTCCTAAAAAGTTACAAACAAAAGAGGGACAATAGGACGTCCACGATCGACGGTGAACACACGTTTGGGTGTGTGTGTGGGGGGGGGGGGGGGCGGGCTGGTGCCATCTTCTAATGGGGGCGTTTTTCAAATCCGAGGATTTTTTTTTCTTTTGTCTGAGCAGGGGGGTTGAGCGCCTTCACGTGTTGTAACTTGAACTGTTACGTGTTAAAACTGAATTGTCTTTATGTAAACGTCAACTTCGCTCGTAACCCCCGCCCTGCAAACAGGACGCTAGGATACTCTGATGAGCTTCACAGAATCTTGTGAAGGAAGTGGCCTATGTATAAAGCATCTGGCTGCAGCTGTTCAAGACCGCTATTAGACAATGTGCGCAAATGGTATCCGAAAACTGTCCGTAGAATTGCGCACATTCCATACCGGATGTGATTTCTGTTTCATTGCGGACCATGTGGACAAAATTTTGAGCGTCGCGTAATGCAATCCGACCGTTCGTGATTCGAAACAGAGCCTGAGCGAGAGACGGGAATTGTAAATTTACAACACAGATAAGTTTTACAGAATTTCCTACATTGTTACGCTTTTCAACGAGAAAAACAATCTCTAAACTGGAATAAAAGAGTAATGAATCAGTCTTAAAGGCCTTTTCAAACCTTGCAGAGTCATGACCTTGATGACGCGCAGGCCGCTGTTCACGCAAAATCCACCAATCAGAGAGTGAATTCATCAGAGTATCCCAGCGTCCAGTTTGCAGGGCGGGGTACGAGCGAAAACGTCAACAATCTCAATGTAACTTCCTTTTGTATTCCTCATTTGCTAAAAGAATGAACAAAGGTCTTGGTTTTTCAAATCGTTGTCGAGGAATCCCTGGTGCCAAGAAAATTATTGAGTTGGTCAATTAGGCACATTATTTTTAATTTTTTTTTAAAAATAAATCAAGCAAAGCTTAAAGAAACATACCATGGTTCTATCCCAATTTTCACATTTTCACGCAGCCTTTGCCCTTCATCGATACATAAATTCTGTATACTCCGTGTATTACCAAAAAACCTAATATTGATTTGCATTATCACGACCCTTATTCTATCTTATGAACAGTGCGAGATTGTAACGATATTAAACAAAAAGGGCGCCCTCAAATTTTAGTAAGGACAAAGGGCGCATAGCCTACTGAAAACAGATCTTCTAAAGTAAAAGAGACGAATTCAATATTCCTGGACAAAAGTTTGTAACTGGTTGCCAGTATTGCCTCAAGCTTCCTTTAATATATCGGATTTTTCAAATGTATGTCACGTGAAAATTTATTGGAGGAATAGGCCAGATTTTTGGACGAGTGGGGGCGCTCTAGTGACCCCAAATTCTGGGTAGAAAGAGTAGAAATATATTTACTGAAGCTTTTAGTTAATGCTAATTTAAACTGAAATTGTTTCATTCAAGCTACCTTTAAACTGCATACACCTTGATTTCGTCTCGTTTGTAATCACGAGAGGCTGTTGCTACAGTGACCTCATCCGCTAAGAAATGTCCTTTTATGAAAACTGATCAGGATAAGCCCCGCCCCCAAATATACCCACTATGAATTGTTGGCACATGCGCAGTTGATCAGGAAGCGCATGTAGTTTCTTTATGAAGAGTCAACTATAAATAAAAACAAATATAAACACAGGAGCAGTTCAACTTTGGAATTGTAATTTTATTCCTCTTCTCAATAAATAAAATAGTTTTTTTTATATATCATTATACAATTATCATTGGGATAAACCATTATACGTAAGGAATAATTGTACACATTTTTTCTTAAATCAAAATATGACGAAGTAACACGTTACTTTGGCCGTAGTAAATCGCCAAACAAAAAGCCGTAACATACAACAATCACAATGATTCGTAACTCGGAGTACAAATAAAAGAGACAAAACTGAAGAAAAGAATTGTGTGAACCTCAGAAAAAAAAATGAGGCGAAAGATCAAACTTTTCTTTCGAAAAGAAAAGATGCTAAATTTCATCGGGATGAACCTGAATAAATGCTGCGTCTCTATGGCTTTGCACTATGAAACATTTTCGTTGTTGCTTTTTTTTAATTCAATTTTCAAGATTTTGAAGAGAATCAGATGATTTATGTTATCAGTAATAGCTTTTACGTTTCTCCTGTCAAATACATATTAGAAACGGCCACAGGCAATTTCTTTGTTATTTAATCGCGGCTTCGACTATATAAAACTGTTTTGTTTTCAAATTTTCTCAAACTCGTTGACCTGTTCTCGTTTGTTACAAGAAGTTAATTTCAATTTAATTGTTTAAAAAAAGTATTTTGTTTCAGTACATGCTGATTCCATGGGCGTGATGGTCCAGAGTTCGGGTCTATTATGAATTTGTAATTGAGTTACGAACTTCAAAGTACCACCTTTGATACGAGTACAAGTTTGAAAACATACTTTCTCAAGAAAATGGCGCCTGTTTTTATTGCATAACCCGTGAAGGCTCCATCCTTTAAAAAAAAGGAGAACATGTCTCTTGTTGTCATGGAAACCACCACGCCCTTGGATCCAGTTAAGATGTATAAAAAAAAGTCGCACAAAATGGCGTCAATGAATCTCAAACTTCCGGATTCACAAACGTTTTATTTTTTGGCTACAAATGCTCGGCATATTATCATACACTTTCTTTTTAAACCTGATGGTAAAATTCCAAGACGCGATAGCCTGGAACGCAGACGTTTCTTTAGCAGCAGTGTAATGCGTTTCTAATTGAAGTAAAAAATAGATGATTGAAAGATATCATCTCACTCAGGCTATGAAACCCCTACACAATAAACCATCACCTCATACCTTTGCTGTTAATAGTTAATCTCTATAAACGTTATCAATATATCTGTATATAACTTGTATAATTATAAGGCTAAACCAAGTTATAAAATATCTTCTTCTTTTCTGTCATTTCATAAATACACGAGTGTTTTTTTTTCTCCTAGAAATAGGAATGTGAATCAGTCTTCTTCATAATTTGATATTCTTCTTAAACTTACGTGCTACGTTTATTAGCTTTAAGTATAAAACAAGGAAGATTGTATACAACTGATGCCTCAAACGAGAGTCGGTATATTTGTTAAGTTGTAAACTGCAAAGTGCAAAGTGGCTTTAAATAAGCAAAAAAGGTTTCAACTAACGTCTCGCAAACCTCGTTTAGATTTTAACTTCAGCTGCATCTTGCAACCTCGTTCTCAAAATATGTCCCCACGTTATTAAGTAAATTGTAGGGGGAAAAACATTCACGTATTTTTTTTCTTCGAAATATCCATACAAAATAATTAAGATATTTAAAGACAGGAGTAGTTAACACATTAATCTGTGCATAGGATAAACATATATTTTCTCTGATTCGTGCAAACGTCTTCAAGACACGTTGATCTTAATTTTACTTTAACTCTTTTTTCTTTCGGATAACATTTCGGATAAAAGAAATCTTTCTTTTTTTTCTTTTCATTTCTGAAAGCTTCAGACAAACTTGCAATGTTCTCAGAACTCATCCGACCTGCGGATAAACTTTTTTCTTGCATTAAATTTGATCCACTGGTGTCACCGTTTGCAAACGGGAATTGCAATTTTTTATGGTGACGCCATATTTGGTCAGGGGTTTTTTTGACGCGCATGTGTGACAAAGTTAGCTGACGTCATGACGGCTTAAAAGCGCCGACACGTTGCTAGCCGCGCGCCATTTGTGCCTCCAATAGAGTCTTATCAAAGGAGCGGCGTCTTTGAAGTCACATCACCGTACACTTGCCCTTCAGCTTCTCGCGCCTCTTTTGCGACTTGGATTTCTTGGTCTCCAAATGGAGGCTCATGGTCCGTCGCTTCTCCAGTTGAAGCAAGTCCTGGAAAAGTTCCTTGACGTTGTAGTTTGTCTTGGCCGAGGTCTCCAGGAACGCGCAGCCCCAAGACTTGGCCTGCTCCATGCCTTCCTGTATGGTCACCTCCCGGTTACCATCGTCGCACTTATTGCCCACCAGCATGATCGGGATACCATCGATGTCCCCTTTGACCTCACTGATGACGTCATAGATGGGTTTGAGTTCCTCCAATGACTGCCGACTCGTGATGGAGTAGACCAGGATGAAGGCGTGGCCTTTGGAGATTGACAGGCGCTGCATTGCTGGGAACTGGTGCGAACCGGTTGTGTCTGTTATTTGCAGGGTGCATACGTTCTTATTGCAGCTGATGACTTGTCTGTAGGTGTCCTCTATCGTGGGAATGTAAGTCTCTCTGAAGGTTCCCCGGACGAACCGTAGTACCAAGGAACTCTTGCCGACGCCCCCGGCTCCGAACACCACCACGCGGTAGTCGTTGCTCTGTTCAGGCATGACGCGTAAACGGATGCTCCGATCGCGTGGTAACTGCAGAAAGACACCAAAGAGAGAGAGAAGATAAACATTAAATTCTGTGCTCAGACAAACAACTTGAAAGCAGAAAACTTCGGAGAAAGATCTTTGCAGCTTCGCTACCCCCACACTGGCACATCACAAGCTGTCAACACAAAACACTTAGAAAGGGAACCATGTTATGGCAGGTTTCTCCTTTCCTACACAAAAGGAACATTCGATATAAGCACTGGTCCCGTTTGTTGACTTAATACTCCCCCTTGTTCACTCCCTATGGTCTACCTGGGGAAAAAAAAGAGACTTTTGTGACCAATTTTGTGAGGGTGGGATGGGGGTTTAAGATTCAAACCAGCCTACGCGGTAGAAGTAAACACTGTATACAAGCACAAAATGAAAACGCGGGGACTGTGTGTGCCGGCAAGTTTGCTATCTTATGAAGATAGCCACTAAGCCATCAGCATGCACCGGTATTGACATGGGGCATCGCAAGCCGTATCGGGTGTCTAGCTCCCACACTGTCACTGCACTGTAAGCTTAGAGGCTTAGGGATACCTGATCGACTGCTCAGAAGAAAACAGGACAAGAGATCTTGAAGACTGAAATGAAGAAAGGAGGAGGCACGACGCCACAATGGACGCATCCACCAGGGGGGAAGACAGAACTAAAGAAACTGAGAAGATGCGTGGGATACCAGCCACAAAGGAAAGATGTCTGTGCTTTGTCACCAAACAGCGGTTTTTATGGGCGTTCACAATTTTCCATCAACACGGTGAATAAATTTTATGAAAGACTGAAAGCGTGTCTGAACCAGAGCTGAGATCTCCTGGGGCGTTAAGACGTCTCATCATCACACTATTTACTTTAAGTCGTTTTTTTTTCTTTATTGCAACATCAGCATGGTTTTTTCAATTGACCTGGGGGTGACGTTAAAGCATACACGTAAGCATGATGGTACAACCATTGATGAGGTACAACATTTTATTCTTAGATTGTATTTTAAATTGAGAACTTCAACAATATAATGTTGCGATGTTAAGGTAATGGAAGGGTATTCGCACGCACGTAAGCCAAATAATCACTATATTTTTGGCTATTCAACTATCCACATTATTTTGGCAACTAGCAGAGTAACTCCGGTCGACACTGCCGAGTTTGCTGCCTGAGATTTCAATAACTCTGTCCAAGCGCCCTAAATGTGAATTCATTGATTTGCTTCAACCTATTTTTCTCCCCAATGTCGCTGCCCACGAAGAGTATTATAAAGAGTAGCTTCGACTGATTAATGCATCCTTGGCGAAGCAGATGGCCGGCTGTTCCTAAACCACTCAACAAATCCGGCAAATGCCATTAAATCCAACACGTTTAAGTCCCCCTGGTTTGATGTATAAAGACCGCCGTTGCCCCGAGACCGCGCGAGCCGACTTTCGGCGGGAACGGATGAATGGAAAAAAAAATGGGAAAATCTTAGCCTTAAGGGCGGAAGTGAATTTGCAATGCCGGTGGGACAGAGAGGCATTTTTCGAAGATTCTATGAGATAAAGTGAGGAACTTTTAATATTTTGAATATCGTATATAGTGGCTTTAATAACAGAATATCACTTGCAGTGGTGCACCAGGAATTAAGGTAACATGAAAACTGAGTACAAACTGAGAGCTCATGCAAACCCTTTTAAAAAGCAGCTACCTAGGGTGAAGTGCTTTTTCATTCCATGGGGATATACATGTAAAACGATTTTTGTGCATCCATTATTACTTCATCAAAATAACTAAATCACCACCAACATGGCTGCTGTATGCAAATGATCTATTCGTGCAATGATATACTACCAATAATCCTGTGTTAACGTCTGGTACTGTCTTATTTCCTTATAATGATTACCACCGCAGTCTCTTTCGTAAGGACTTAAATAATCAAAGGTGTATACCAAAAATACTGCTGTTTCGAAATCAAACAATTTGAATCCTATCGAAAAAGACAAGAAGATTTTCACAGAGAGATGGTCCCTAGTTTGGCGAGCCACTGACGTCACAACCTCAACGGACACTCATTTGCACCCCCCCCCCCCCCTCAAGCGATGCAAAAGCGAAAGATGCACAAACGCGTACGTAATACTTCCCCGTTCACGCTCAGTATACAGCAGGCCAGATGCACCAGCAAACCGCACGACATCCACTGTCCACACGAGAGTTAATCAATACTCTATTATGCATGGCGCGCGCATAATCACGTAGGCCAGCTTCATATCACCGCTTGGGGCACTTAGATACTAGAAAACGATACATGGCTGTCAATCTGTGAAAACATTCACCAAAGATTATTTCTATGCATAAATCGAAACTGCTTATTGTTGTAAAAACACAACATTGGCCACGACGGGGTTTTTTTCTGTTGAAAAATATACACTTCAAAAATATTCATTGTATCTAATTATAATCAAGCCCCCCAAAAAATCTCGTGATTAAAAAATGAAAATTGTCCATGATACAACAACAAATTTAAAATCACGTAACGGCACACGTCATGAAGTCTTACAGAGCCTTATTAACGGACACTGGCTAATGACACACTCCTTGTGAAGCCCTGTTGTTTGATTCAGACTAGCAATTAGTGACCGGTAATTGGACGACGCATAACGCGAGAAGGAAAGCCGTAAAACATAGTAATGCATTCATGAGAATTGTTGACCGCAGAAAAATGAGGACTGCATGATACATCCAGTAGAGGAACGACAGATACAGAATAAAGTAGAAAGATTGCGGGAACGCCATGTGGAAAGTAATATCTTTATCTTATCCGCCATGCATGCAAAAGCTTCAAGTCATATAGACAGATATAGAATGATATTCGATTACACATCGCAGTGTATAGAATTATAACATTATTATATGCATTAGAGGAACGACAGATATTTAATTAAAAAAGTATCTTTATATTTTATATCGCGGGAGAAGATGACAAGGTGGAAAGATTCATTATATTGACTCGCTGCGGGGTTTAATCAGACCGAAACCCTTAGCCTGGTCTTTTTTTTTTACTGCAGCCAGTTGATAACCACACAACCGTAGCATAAGCCAAGGAGAAACAACACGAAATGCTAACACCCAGGGGGCCTATCCATCCAGGCAGGCTGACCTATGTCTTTTCATCACGCGTCATTATCGTCCAATAAACGCACACGCTCCATTGTTCGTATTTTCTTATCTCACAGGTCATTGGTCGGTTTTGTTTTCTTCGAGCATTCACTAAAAAGGTTGTCTGACTTGACCGTCCCCAGAGCAGTCCTGTTAACGCTCCCCAATTTGCTACTGAAATCCAAAGGGACCAATCGTGGACGGTCAACCTCGTTCCCTTGCTGTAACCCACGCAGTAATAACAGACAAATATTTTTAAAAGGGTAAACTCATAACACAGGTGCAATCCAGGCAAGTAAGCCCCAGAGAATCATAAACCAATACTGTGTAGGCGTTTTTCACCAGATTCCATTTTTTTTTTAAATTATCATGTGTTTTCCCCAGTTCTCTGCGCGCAAAGAATGTGGCAACATTAATCTCGCGGAAAACAAGGCAACACACTTCTTACTACCCTTTAATGACTCATTTAATTTGATGCAAACATGAAACATTTTGCACTGCAAAATAAACTCATTCTCAAATGAGATTACCGGTCCCCGGGCTCAACTCCAATCGCCTCGCATCTTCCTCGGAAGATTACAGAGAGTAGAGAGCCTCAACCAGCACCATACTCTATTATTCGAGGGCAACCCCGTAGGCGGGAAGAAGACGCTAGGATTATCTGCTTCGGCCGTGCTCAGGAGTCCAGCCGGCTGAATCAAATGCCAACAAGGGCAGGGTTGTTTTCTTCAGCCCGTTGTCTCGAACAAATTGACGCTTTGCCATGCTATCAAACTTGAGAACACTCCACTATGTATGACCTGTACTGGACGGTTTTTGCAGGTGTACTTCGGTTGTGTCATAAAATATGCTACGCCCCTATACTATGGCAATGGTCCTAACTTATGTTGAGCCAATCCTCCAAAGTCCTCAGGGCAGCTTTGGAGGATTTTGGAGGATTGAGGCTGAATGCAACATACAATTCTGGAGGATTGTGTAGGATTAAGGGCACATGGACATCCAGTATGGGTTGACTTTGGAGGATTGAGGCTGAATGGTGTTTGAAGAAGCAGGGCTGTTGGGCGATTTTGAAGGAGGCAGTGGTTATCCTTCATTTGAACATAAGTGTAAGATATTGGGGGGTTTTGAAGGATTGAGGATGGTTCCTAGCAAAAAAAGGTCTGGGGGAGGAGCAAATGCGGATCTGCAAGTTCTGCAAAGCGGAGCTTGTCCACTTGAAAGAAAAGCTGTTGTACAGCAATCACGTTTTGTTTTGGTTTCACATTATAATAGAGATGATTCTCGAGGAGAACAGATTTTACAGACACAAAATATTTGATTGTAATCCTGCTTTTACGATATCAATGGTCAAAACAAAGCACAATCATCTATGAGCATACAAGAGCATGACGCATCCGGAAGCCACACGGCCGAGCGCCATTAGTCGAAAAGCAATCAACATTTTTATGAAGCTCAACCCAAAGAGTAGAAACAAATCCCTTAATCCGGAAGGATTAACAGACGGGCAGCCCGCAATTAGTCCAGAAGGAGACCGCGCATTAAAAGACATCTGATCGACAGTGGACAAACACGACTAATGGTGTTTGTTCAGTTCAATAACACATTAGAATATTTCTTTGTCGTTAAATGCTAAAATTAAGACTACAAAATAATTACAGCTTTTGTTTGAAAACAAGAACCAGAGAAAAGCACACACGAAATCGCAAAGACGCGCACCAGCATAACTGTCCACATGAATATTCATGAAGCAATCAATCTATTATCTGACAACCGGAAGTCGCGTGGTTTTAATTTTAATCGACTGATATTTTACTCCTCCACAGAGCAGAGTTTCTTTTTATTTTATGCGTCATCGCATATATCAAGCTGAAGAGAAAAAAAGACAGGGGATTTCGTTTTATGATACCGATGCTCCGACTAATTCCCTAAAAATGAATAATTAAAAATATGCTTCTCTGAACGAAGGTTACGTGCATTCGGTGATTCAGATGTGTAATTTCATATAAAATATTTTGTTGACTGTAATCATTCGAGCATCCAAATTTCTATCCCCGCTTCAATCAGTTGATTAAAATTCAGCAAGTGTAACTACCGGAGGACCTCGAAATCCGACATGTGAGAGGAATTTATGTCGATACTAATTAGATATCAATGTTACAGTTGTAGACAAGATAAGCCTTCGGCATCTTGAATGCATAGTACTCTTGAATAAATTGATCTGTATGCAAGGGTGGGTGAGATCTGGGAAGATTTAAAAAAAAAAAAAAAAAAAAAAAATCACAAAATACTCGGCAGTGTTTGAGAGTCGCCGAGAGCGCCAGAGCAACCGTTGGCACCATGTATGTCGAATTTGCTTGATTTGTTCTTTATAAACTTTCGAAGGTAAAAACACCTAGATGGTAAAACCTCAGAGATTCCAGTAGTTTTAGCTACGAAAGCTCATGCACACTTTCACTCTAGTTAGTCTTTTAAAGTGCCAACTTACTTTTATATATTAAATTTTGCCTAACTAACACGGCTGCCCACCGCTTTTAGATTTCAAAAAGGGATTCTTTAAAACAGAAGTCATCCAAATCAGGAACAATCCTGACAAAAGCATCCTGAAATCGCGTTAAAAATTCTTACAAATCTCACCCACTGAATGCTCAGCCAACAACACAAAACACATACTCCGTCACGGAAACTCGCGCTAGACGTAAGCAACGCGTAATAATAACGCCCTCGGGGAGTAACATCCAGACTTAGCAAAAAAAAAACCGGTGTGATTGAATTGGTGATATTAAACGCGCACAAGGACATCGGGATTATCTAAAATGGCCCAAGTGTGGTAAACAAGCTGCCTATCAAAAGAAAGATGAAATACCAGGATGGGAATCGCCCACTCAGCGAATCTGATATCTCGGTAAATTTTGGTGCGTTTTACACCCGATAGCCAACACTTCGCATATAGACCGATAGGGGTTGCAAAAATCTGGAATAGTAAATTCCAATTAAGCTGTAATCGTAGAGACAATGGCCGGAGGGGTATACAGCGATTTCAATACAGTAAACATGTTTTGAAATTGACGGCCAAATTCACATATAAACCAAATCTCAAGAACAAACCGCAAAATACCTCAAGAAACAAAGACAACAAGCCGTTCATATTACCAAAAAGTACAGAACAAAATGTGAATGTTCTGATTTAAAAATCCGAAATATACCACACACAGACTCGTTCGTATACGTACTGCAAATCGTTGCAGGCCCTGTACTTCAGTTGACCGATGCAATATTAAAATGTAATACCTTAGCAGCATGGCAAATGGCCAAAATAATCCTGACAATTTGGAAAAAAATACCATCAAAATTTGCAATCGTACTCACCAATTAGAAAAAAAGAATGGTGTTTCACCGACAGAGCAAGAAAATGCTAGCCGAACTCAGATGTTTGTGTCTCGGCGGTTTGATAGACTAATTTAGGGTATTTGGTTGTGTCAACGCGGAGAGTTGACTCGCCGTTAGATGATGGTGATGATGATGATGCGGGATGCTTTGCATGCGATCGTTGATGACGGCGGAGGCAAGAAGGGAAGAGCGTTGGTTCTGTTGCCGATGACGCTCGTAGTGAGTGTGTGGAGTATTGTGCCGGTCCGGCCTCAATTATATAGACATATCCCCGGTCACCCTCGCGTCGAGAGAGCGCTAGCGGCCAATCGGCTCTAGGGACAGCCCCGACAAGATGCGCAGGATTGAGGACAATGAGTCAGAAAACCGAGTGTAGGCAGTGCAGTGTCATTTTCGTCACTGTATAATATTCACGGGGCTTCCAAGGAAAATCCCTGAAACAAATCTCTGTATGAGATAACACAGCGTAGGCCCACAGTTCGAAATAAAATAATATGTGGAAAGTAATTGGAAGATCGTATTCGGCTTTACGTTTCAGTTTCATCTGTCCTGAGGGGACGTTACTGGAGACAACGTAAACTTTTAATAAAATATCCATTTCTTTATTGACTTTAAAAAAAACGAAAGTGAACCAACGTTTGACTACAATGAATCAATATAAACATCGGCGTCGCCAGGAATTTTTCAGTGGGGTGGGGGGGGGGGGCGCTGGGGGGCTGGAACATTTCATGGGGGGGTCATGTAGATCAATGATAATTTTTTTAGAAACTCAAAATCTCAGTGGGGGGGGGGGGGCGACTGGGGGGCGACAAGGATTCATGGGGGGGGGGCTGTCGCCCCCCACGGCCCCCCCCCCCCCCCTGGCTACGACACTGAATATAAATATACAGAAATGTTGGAATTGTTGTACCGATTAGAAGACTCCAAAATAGTTTAATATTGTAATAGTTTTTTTTTTCCAAAATGTTCGACACCATGGAAAAACTGGAATAATAGTTGTATGCACTCCACTGGCAAAACGCGATACCAAAATTTTAATTGTAACGATTAGAAGTCTCCAAAATAGTTAAATTTTCTAATAGGTTTTTATTTTGTGTAACCGAATGTTCGACACATGGAAAAACTTGAATAATAATTGTATGCACTCCACTTATCCCCAAACGCAGCTTTCCACCATGCAAGAAGTAATTGAGATTTGTAAACCACCATTTTGGGAGGGTTCTTTTTGTGAATACAAAAATCGGTAGATTTGTAATTAGTTTGTTTGTGATTGTAATTCTATTTATTACAAAAAAATGTTGGTTTCTCAGCCTTTTTTGTTGTTATTGTTCAGGTGTTTGAATTAAATACTTTAAACTGTTGCTTTATACATATTTTTGTGTTTGAATAAAAAATATAACTTGCTTAATTAATTAAAATAACATATATAACTTACACTTTTGAATTAAGTAGACAAAGTGATAGGTAGACAGAAAAAAATTATGAAAGAACAACTTACAAACTATTTTGTCTATTAATTTTTCCATTTTAAAGAGGATTAATTATATTCGGATCGTATTCATTGGCAATTAAATTTACAAATATTCCAATTCGCATTATGGAATCATGAGAATTTCCTCGAATACATCTAATGAACTAAATGAAACAACAGACAGAGCTGTCTTTCTTGCTAAAATATCTCTTGCTCCGAAACAACTCGCGATTTTCATGACAAGATTCGAAGACACCTTTTTGGACGAGCCCCTAAGTTTAAGATTTTTTTCACTATTAGGCCTATACCGTTAACAGTAGATAGGCGAGATGCGCGCGCAGGCATCTTCTCTTTCATGTATTCAGTCGCACAAGAATTTGATCCGTCGGAACATCAAGTATGTGTGTAAAGCGACAAAGGGGGAAAAAGGCCCCCACTCTTCGATCGAGGACCCGACTTCATCAAAAGGAATTTCTAAACTCGCCTGCCCGTTGACGTCAAGAAGTTGAAGAATAAAAGAAACCCCGTATACCGAACTCGCAGCAAGCTGCACAGTACAATCCTGGAAAAATATATGATTTCGATTTTGGGGAGAGGTTGACTTAGATGAACAATAAATTCTAATAATAAACAGGGGGAAAGTCGAACAGGTTTATATTTTTGTGTCCGGTGTCAGGGGGCGAAAGGATTCTTGGGTGACAACAACATTTCCCCAGAAGACTATTGAAATTTCAGCCAACTTCACTGTCAACAAAGACCTGTTTTGTCGTTTTTTGGAATAATGTTTTGCATTTTGATGCTAAACTTTACTTGGCATTTTTACCTGAATGAGAAGTTCAAAAACAAAGGGAACAGTGGGGTCGAAACCGCACGCCACGATACCGCGGGGCTTCTCAGAAATTAATTATGCGAACGGCAAAGTATTATTCTGAAATCTAGTATCAAATTGGTCATTGTTTGGTCTCATTGTTTTGTGTGGCTTTTTTAATTCAGCCATAATCCACCTTTTAAAGCTGCATGAATTTACAAGATTTTATTACAGTTGATCGAGTAGAAGACTGAGATACATGTAAATCAAACTCCTACAATTCTGAAGTGGGATCTTAAAGTACAAACACGGCAGGCATGATACTTTGACGATTCTCGATCGTTTCACATCCGCAAGTTCGGGTTATTATAACAAATACTTCTTTATCGCCCTCTGCGAAGAATACTGACAGATCCATGCATTATCTACATGTATATTCCATCAGGGAATTCACCAAAGTATACTTCGCTAGTCGGGGTAGGAAGGAACTCATCAGCCAACTTGCTCCACGATCGACCAACATTTCAGACAGAAGTACCAAACAAAACTAGACATAACGAATTTGTTTCAAGCCAACAAACGGAGTCCTGTACCGGTGCTATGTATGTAGCAATAGGCCTCTTTACAAAAAGCACAAAAGAAATCACTAGGCATGCCATCATGCCACCCCTAATATCTGCATAAAATATACCATTATTGTACATTTAGAAGTTTCGACAAAATAGAGAGCAACGTAGGATGTTGTTCCTGTTGCTTATGAAAACCAATAAGTGAACAAACATGTACATAAGACTCATTTCGTTGGATCAGGTCCATGGTCGTCTCATGTGTCTATAGTGGCAGAAAGGAATATCGTGTGAGTAAAAAAGGTCCTATCTCCTGAGAGAGAGAAAAAACAAACACACACATTAAGTGTATGTGTGTTTGTTGAAAGACACCATTTGAAATGCCTAAAGAACCGCAAGATATGCTTGACTGCGTAGAATATAGGGCAATTCCCCATAGATGAACTTGTCACGACAAAAATAGACTTCCGTATCTGTGGAGTGTGTGTTTCGCCAAAATCGTCTACACGGCAGAAAGCTCTGAATATGGAGATTATTTCTCCACCATGTCACTCCAGGTTTAGCAGGGGACAATATTGCCAAATCCCCGGTGCAATACAGTGCTTGTTTGTACAAAACCGAAACGGCAACCATATACTGGAAACCCTCAACTGAGCTTTCAGGGGTATTACTGGATTGTTGTTTGCCTTTTTTTTTAACGAATCCTCATGTGATCTTGCGTCAACGTGACTTTTGACTTTTCCAAGTGAAACCTTTTATTTCACAACGAAAATACTATTAACAAGAAAAAATATAATTTAAGAAAAGAAATATTATTATACAAAAATACAAACTACGTCAACGTGAAGGAAAGGGAGAATGCGTAGTAACAAAGTTTCAGATGTAAAGGTGCTGAGATGGTGGAGGAAATTTTGCAGAAAAATATTTTGGTGCGTTTTAATATTAAGAGAGCCCCGTGGTACACACTACCGCTAGCTGGGTGTAGTCATAATATATACTTAACGTTTACTTTGATCTCAATTTGCATGTTGACCCCAAGAGGGCCTGGTAAGCGTTAGTGAAGCAATTTTTGTACATTTTTCATCATGAACGTTATGTTTTGCGTATTAAATAGCGATACGCTGTGGAGTGTTTCCATAGAGACAGTGTTGTAATATTTAACTATTCAAAGTCTGAAAGAAACAAATTTGCCCCAAAAAGCATAACAAAACAAATAAATCATTTTTGTCACGTGCCAACCGTTACTTCAGAGAATCGTCGGAGCATATACAATGTATATACAACCATGGAGCATTAAGATCATGGTGACCGTTTTAGCCGATTTTCGGCTAACTTTGACAGAATTTTTGTTAAAAAAACGAGTTTGACAGAAAATTTGACAGAATGGACTTTTTTGTCAGATTTCTGGCACAATTCTGCAAAAATGGTTATTGACAGAAAACAGCGAATTTGAACAAAAAAGTGTCCCTTTGTTTAAAAAGCTTCAATCCTCTCAAAAAACCTTGCATAAATGGGACAGGTTGGCTGGTCTAGGTACTGAGGTTCACTGGGAAACGGACTTCGTCGTGGCCGGATCCGCGTTTTGCCCGAAATTTACCAATAATTTCACAACATCTTTTTGTGACTAGATTGTTTATTATGTAATTTGAATCTTCAATTAAGGCAATACTACCAATCTGCATGTGATTTTAAGTGTTTATAGTGTATTTCGAGTAATTCTAGGGAATTTGGCAGATTTTTGATAAATCTGACAGATTTTTGATGTGCATTTAGCAGAATTTGGCTCTGACCTTACGGCCACCCTGATTAAGATATAACTAAGACTCTCCATTAACCATTGCATTTTGTGTTACCACACACTCCTTTTCAAAAAAAGTGACACACAGACATCACACAGACAAACAGACATCAGACAACGTAGGATTCTTTAATATAGGGTAAGGATGTAATTTTGTATTTGAATGCAAGACTTTTCATTAACGAATCAGTAAAGAAACTGATTTGAGCTGTCAAAGGTGCTGGGTTGGTGGGGAAATCTTGCATAAAAAAACGACGAGTGCATTGAATATTTGGGGGCTTTTTAATATAAAGAGTGCCCCGAGGTATTGGTACATACTACAATTTTGTAAACATTTATTTTTTTATTTGAATTCAAGAGTTTTTGGACCATTAAGAATGTGCTCAGTTACATCAATGTGCTAGAGTTCAGCTCTTGACTGGCCACGTTTTTCTCTTGGGTTTCGGATAGGTTTCGGATGACTTTTTGCCAAAGTTTCAAAAGATCTTTACATCTGATATTTCGCTAGACTTTCTTTTTTTAAAGTTCAGTTCCTGTTTTACTCGAAATACAAGTGTGAGAGAAGGAACCATTTCTTGTTATCTTCAATGTTTTACTAC